CTATGAATAATTAGACATCGCCTATGAAAAAAATTAGACACTGACTATGAAAAATTAGACATCGCCTATGAAAAATTTGACATTGCCTATGAAAAATTAAACATCGCCTATGAAAAATTACACATTGACTATGAGTATTTAGACATTGACTGTGAATAATTAGACATTGACTATAAATAATTAGACATTACTATGATAAATTAGACTTTGACTAATTGAGAGAACCTGATAACAAAATCACCAGAATGTCTTTGCACTGGAAGCCACATAGAAATAGAACTAAGACCAAACAACACATGGAGGAGGGAACTAGAGTGGGACATTAAAAGATGGGGAGGAATAAGGCGAGTTGCATGCAATAGCGAAGGATAGAATAGCTTTGGCCTGAGTTGGTTGAGGGCCTATGCTCCATTAGAGATGAGAAGATCGAAGATGAAGAAAGGTACACAGTATCGAAACATCTAAGACGTAATGTGTTTAGCACTACTGTAACACAATTTATGAAGAGTACCGGAGATTTGTTTCGACACAAAAATTCTAGCTTTTGTTGATACTGTAATCATAAACGTCAGTTCTCCCGTGTGGGTTCCGGGGCCCATTGTGGGGAAAACAAGAATAGACCCACTGCCTCCCCAAAAGCATGTCGTAAGAGTCGACTAATTGGGGAGCTTCCTTTGAAGTCGGAGTGCATCTGCCTGAGAGGCAAGGAACCAACAGTCTGTATTCAAGAGAATGAGATCTGTAAAACTGATGCATACGCAACACTCAGGTTTTGGAGCAGGACTGCAGTTCAGTAGTGGACGAGCAACCAGAACCTTCCGCCAGAGTTTACAGCTGGTAAACACGAAGAAGAAGAAGAAGAATAAACGTTAGTTGCCTTGTTTCTTCCCCCAGAAAGTAGCTTCTAGTTCACCGGACACCAGCACTAAGAATGGGTAAAACGAAAAAGGCTATCGTCATGACAGATGAGGAGAGAGTGGCTTTCGAAGAACAACAGAGGCTGCTAGAGGATGAGATGCGGAAGACGAAGGAGAATGTTCTCACTCAGTTTCTAAAGGTATGTAGGCGTCATCATTCATGCCCAGTAACACCATTGTGTGCCTTGTTGATGAGCGTAGGCTTATGTCTGCCTCCTTTCTCTGTACCTGTCTGTCTGTTTGTCTTTCTCTGTACCTGTCTGTCTGTTTGTCTGTCTTTCTCTGTTTCTTTCTGTATGTCTGCCTGTCTCTCCATATGTCTGTCTCCTGTATGTGCATGCACCTGAGTGCTGTCTGTCTCTGACTCTCTGTATTGTCTATGGGTCTTTTTTATGTTTGCCTTCCTCCTCTGCATTGTCTCTCTCTCTCTGTCCTGCTCTCTCTCTCTCTCTCTCTCTCTCTCTCTCTCTCTCTCTCTCTCTTCTTTTTGTGTCTTTCTTCCTGTTTGTCTGCTTCCCTGTAAATTTTTTGTCTCTTTTCCTGCACCTGTCTGCCTGCCCCCCCCCCCCACACCCCCCCCTTCTTTCTCTTCATCTCTGTGTAGCTTTCTTTCTGCGTTAGCCTTCACTCTATATGATTCTCTCTCTCTCTCTCTCTCTCTCTCTCTCTCTCTCTCTCTCTCTCTCTCTCTCTCTCTCTCTGTGTGTGTGTGTATGTGTGTTTCTCCATGCCCCTCTCACTTTCGTCATCTCACACGACCACAGAATAACTTCTTGCATCTTCCAGTATGATCCAGTCACCGAGGCTTTGATGTTTCTGCGTTCCGCATGCCAACCCCTCCTCCCCCATCCCCCACCCCAACCTCGTCCCTCTCCTATTCCTGCCAGTCACCAAAAGTTCTTGAGTCCGTTCCTTCTCAAAGTTAGTAAGCTAGTTTTATATCCTTTACAGAACGTTACGTTACAAAATCAACCCGAGCGTCTTTTCTTTTACTGTTTTAGTTTTTCTGGACAAGGCTTATTACGTTCACTAATTTGCCTTTGGCTCTCTGTAACACTGTCGAAACCAACACAAGACAGTCTGTTTTTTTTTTTTTTTTTTACTGGGATCGCACCCTGCAGCCCAGCATTTTGTGTGAGCAGTTTAGCTTTCATCTGTCTAGAGGCCGGCTGACTTGTGTGTTTTTCTGTAATTCCATGATAATCTATGACGATTATTTAACGACATTCTCTGCATTCTTCTTCAAATCATAATTTAAAAAAAAAAAAAGAAATTGCTTACAATAGCACTTTCTCATTCTATGGTAATGATCTGTGTTGGTAAAATAAAAGCATGTCCTAAAATGGGACTAATTTTGAGTTCCCTGAAATCAGATGTGTTGGGCCGAAAGGCATAGAAATGACAGACATTTTGTAAACCACAATACAACTTGAAAGCCGCGCTTTTTGGGGCGAAAGCATACACAGGAAGAAGAAAGGGGGTAGGATTGTATAATGTGGCTTGGAGTTTTGAGATGCCAGGTTTTGTATTCAAGAATGTACCTTATACTGATGTGGGTTGGAGTTTTGAGATGCCAGGTTTTGTATTCAGGAATGTACCTTATACTGATGTGGGTTGGAGTTGTGAGATGTCAGGTTTTGTATCCAGGAATGTACCTTATACCGATGTGGGTTGGAGTTGTGAGATGTCAGGTTTTGTATCCAGGAATGTACCTTATACTGATGTGGTTTGGAGTTGTGAGATGTCATGTTTTGTATCCAGGAATGTACCATATACTGATGTGGGTTGGAGTTGTGAGATGTCAGGTTTTTTATCCAGAAATGAAACCTACACTTATGTGGGTTGGAGTTGTGAGATGTCAGGCTTTGTATCAAGGGATGTACCTTACACGGATGTGGGTTGGAGTGAGATGTCAGGTTTTGTATCCAGGAATGTACCACCTTAACCTGATGTGGGTTGGAGTAAGATGTCAGGTTTTGTATCCAGAAATGTACCTTACACTGATGTGGGTTGGGGTTGTGAGATGACAGGTTTTGTATCCAGAAATGAAACTCACACTGATGTTTCCTCAGGACAAACTGATGCACGAGGAGCGAGCCACTCAGTTCAACATGAACAAGCTGAATCATCTGTGGCGACAGATCATGAGGGATGAGAAGTCTGCGGAGCTGAAGAAGGACTTTGAACTGTTGAGCCAGACGTTTGAGAGAGTCATTGACGCAAAAGATGCCTTCATCAGGGCCCTGGGCAACGATATGCTGGAGTCTGAAGAGATGTATTCTATGGCCGTGAGGAGTCACGTGCAGGTGACGGACAACCTGCTTGGTAATGTTTGACAGTAATCTCTGACAGTAATGTTTCACTGTCATATTTGACAGTAATTATGACAGTTGAGTTGAGGTGAGTTGAGTTGAGTCAGGAATTGACACCAAAGCACTCGGGGCATTCCCATGCATGCTCCCTCCTCATCTTTAGCAGCAAGCGCAGAGTTTCAGTACTGATGGTACCGGTCACAATCTGGTTATATGTCCGTCTTGCTTTTCCTCTGAGTGTAGTGAGCCGGCCGGACCCTCTGGTTACACGCAGGTGCCTCATTCTCTCCAGGCCATAATAATCTTCTTTCTGTTCCGATTCCGTTGCTTGTTCCGACGTGGCCTTGACCAAATCTGCCTTGTCATGTATAAATATTCACCACTCAGTGGTGCAAATCCAGCCAATCTGTCTGCCTGTTCATTACCCACTACGGTGTCATTGCCTGGAGAAAAGATCCAAAGTATGCTCACTACCCGTGACCTTCCCAGCGAAGCTTGCCACTCTGCTCGAAGCATCCCTATCAACATTCTTCTCAGCATGCTTTCCGGGTCTGTTACAATTACGACATGTGAATGCATCTTGTTCTCTAGCCACCAGAGAGCTGCAGTTACCGCCTCCACCTCCATTCTCATGCTAGATGTTGTGATGTATGCAAGGCTGTCTTGCACTAAAGATTTTATGACTGTAATGTATGATTAGTCACCATGGAAATGAAATATCTGAGAAGGGCTGCAGGAGTGACCAAAAGAGATAAAAATCGGGAATGAGGTCATAAGAGAAAAAGTCGACACAGAACCAGTTATAAGTTACATACCAAGGCAGCAAATCAAATGGTTTTTCTTACAGAGAACGCCTTGTAACACCATATTGTACAAGGCATACACTAAAACAGGGGATAGACACAGACCATGAGGTAGACCAAGAACAACATGGAAAGAGAGCATCAGAGAAACTCTACAACAGTGCGATATGTCACTGGTCGAGGCAACCAGAAACAAAGAAGCACAAATGCATATCTCCTTTAACACCTAAAGCGGTGAAAAAGCGAAGAAGAAGAAGAAGAAGAAGAACCAGTCATTTTCACTTTTAATGGCAGGACTCGAAATTTCTGTTATCATCAATCATCAGTTGTCATTATGCGTAGTGGCACATAAGGCTTCAGAGAGGACTCTCCATGCTTTCCTGTCCTGTGCAATCTTCAGTGCAGTTTTCTATGTCAGAGATGCTGCGCTCTGGTAACCTTCCAGTGTTCGTCTCAATGTTTTCTTTGGGCGCCCCCCCCTTTTTTTTTCTCTTTCCCTCTGGTGTCCATGTAAGAACTGTTTTTGCAGGTATATCATGATTCCTCCTCAAAACGTAGCCAAGCCATTTCCATCTTCTCTTGGTTATCGTACTGTCTAGAGTTTCTTGAATTATAATAATTCTCCTTTAAAACTGTCTTGTTAGTTTCCAAGTTCTGGTCATCTGGTGGGATAGACTGGAGTCGATTTTCTAGGGTATCAGCAAAGGAATTATGGATGGTGATTATCTTGAGTTTGTGAATATTTAATCTTTTTTTTTTTTTCTGCTTCCTTCATCATGAGGACCCCTGGTTGGCGTATTTGCATTGTATTTACAATACCCCAAATAATAAGAACAAAAAAAATTACTTAGCTCACGCATTTCCTATAGGAATCAAATTGTTGGCCGACCATGAGAAATTACCTATACATGAATCTGTGTGTGTCCACTAAACATAACTCATGTGATCCCTGTTTTGGTCTCCTGAAGACCTTCACAACGAGCGCCTCGACATGATCAGCCGCGAGTATTGCCAGCAGCTGGAGATGATCTGTGAGGAGTTTGACCTGGAGCGAGCCATGCTGAAGGAGCACCATCACACGGAGATGAACAACATTGACGACATCTTGTACGCCATGGACGCCATGCACCAGGCAGACGAAAGCGAGGCCCTGGCGGAGTATGAGATGATGGAGGTGGAGATAAAAAATAAGGCAGGTTTTGGAAACCAGTAACTTGTTTGTGTATGTGTGTTTGACAAACTGAGATTATGAGTTATGAGTCAAGAACTGGTGTCATAGCTACTTGAATATTTGACAAACTGAGATTATGAGTTACGAGTCAAGAACTATCGTCATAGCTACTTGAAGGTTTGACACACTGAGGTTGTTGGTGAAGATCAAGCATATTGTAAAAGGTGGCTAGCATGTGGGTTTGCTAAAATCGGATGTTGGACAAAAAGGCGCCGATATCGCAGCCCGTTTGTAAACCACAAAACAACATACCAATAGCTTTAAACAGCGAATGCTGATTTCCACAGCCCGTAAAAATGCCACGAGATTCAGCTGGTCATTTCTGTCAAGTAGGCAGTGGTCATTTGTTTATTGTACACCAGTCACGCATCAGACATATGATGGTTGACACGCATCGGTGCTTTTTATTATCATACCCAAGATGACGTTACAGGACAGTGCTACGTTTTAGTGGGTGGTAAGGTTGGGTTTCCCAGGCTTTTTGATGCTTTTAAAGACCCCAACACATCTATAACTGGGCATAACCCTAACCCCACCTACCTCCCACGAGAGAGTGCAGCCTAGGTCCCACGACTGCATGAAGCCTGTTTACCACCCCTTGAAATATTAGACTGTCCCGTGACCTGTGAATTTCCCCTATTTGGGGTAGGATATTAAGAAAGCAACCACGCATCTTTAATGAGAGGTAAACCTGCCATGTGTGATGTGATCAACGACACGACGGTCGCCTTTACTTCCTTGTGAAAAGTAAAAAGTAAAGAACTTTTCCCCCACCTTCAGTCGTACTGGGCAAATAGGGCTAGACCTATATTATATTAGACCAATCAGCACTGAATGGGTGATGAGGTCAACAGCACACCAGCCAACTTTACTTCCCACGACTGTAAATGGTACCCACTCAAGGCGGGGTCGAAATGAGAGCCAAACCATTTTGTGAAAAAAGGTGCGGTTCCGTCAGGACCCGAACTCATGACCTTCCTATCTATAAGCGAGCATCTAGCCACTGCTTTACTTCCGTATAGAGAACTTATTCAATTCCTTATTGCGCTGTTTTGCTCGGTGGATCGAATCAGCCGCTTTTCCTCGGAAATATGTCCATCTCATAGTGTCGGTGCCTCGGCCCTGCCGGAATCAGTATTGCAATACCGTATGTCCGCAAATATCAGATGATTCCATGTATAAGGTTAGTTGCGTATCCTTTACAGGACGTTGCAGAACCAACCCCAGAAACCGCTGGCTGTTGTGTAGTTTCTCTAGGCAAATTTACGTTCAGTAGTTTGCCATTTCTTCCTTGACGGCCGGCACCCTGATACCACTGTCGAAACCCAACGCAAAGCGCATGGCCTGCAGCTGGGATCGAACCCGGCACTACGAAGCGTTCGCATCGACTTAGCCACAGACCCGACCCCGTGTATAAGACGAACAGAAAATGAGGAGGAAAAGGGAGGGGTGGGGGGGGGGGGTATGATTACATAAAGTTACTAAACTCCTGTTTTATTCATCACAGAATCAAGAAAGCTTCCCAGCACTGCCAAAACTCTTATCTATCTTGTAGTTCTTTAGCTTGTCCTCGTCTCTGTGTGATGACCAATAACTGTCTTCATACATTGCCTCTTCCTCCGCTCCATCTGTGACTGCTTACTTTATAAATGACTTCACAGCGATCTCAGACTTCAGTGTCCCAGGATCTGTTCAGCCAGATATGAACTTCCCCTGTAGTTGATTTCTTCACACTAGCCGCTGGCAACGCGCGCCGCGGATCGGAAGGTCGTGGGTTCGCTCCCTGGCGGAGGCAGACTTTTCTTCAAAAAATGACCTTAGCTCCCAGGTAGGCTGACCTAGCCGTGAGTGGGTACTGGGTGCAGTCCCGGGAAGTAGAGGCGGCCGGCGTAATACTGACCACATCACCCATCTTGTGCCGTTGGTCTAAATATAGGTCTAGCCCGATATGCCCTGTACGCCTAAAAGCGTGGAAAGGGGTCCTTTACTTTAGCTGCTAGTGATAAATTGTCCCTAGGACTAGGGCCTGGTTACCACCCTTTTGGGAAGCAAGTGCGTTTTATACTTTTTTGGGGGGTTTAAATTGTCTTCCCATTCGCCTGCGCTGTGTATGCCCACACAGACCGTACGCCACGATTTACTGAACCATCTGTATAGAGGACAACCTCACCTGGTCAAATGTATTTCAGCATTCATTGATGTTTGGCTCTATCCTCTGCATTTCCAGCCCATTGTGATCACCACCTCACATAACCCAGGATCTGTGTTCAGGTAATTCTGAATGTCTCCACAGAGCTTGGAAGGCAAACAGGCTCTACGCCTCAAGCTGGGGACAAAAATAGAGGAGTTGTGGCAGCAGTTCCGGCAAATGTTACATAACTGTAACGAAATCAACGAAGACAGGAGAACCGCCTTTGACATCATCAAACAGAAAGACGACAAACGTTCCAAGGAGATTGACATTAACAATCGCAAGCTTGCACGTCTGGAGGTGAGTAAAGTCGGTACCAGTGTCCGTTTTGGAGCTGTCAGCTTAGTTCTTCATCATCTTCGTCTTTTTCATCGTCGTCATTCATAGACACTAGCACTCACACAAATCATGGCCGGAGATGGGAGGGGGAGGAGTTGCAGATCGGAGGGTTGTGTGTTTGGGTCCTTGTTCTTCTTCTTCTTCTTCTTCTTCTTCTTCTTCTTTTTCTTCTTCTCATTCTTCTTCTTCTTCTTCTCATTCTTCTTCTTCTTCTTCTTCTTCTCATTCTTCTTCTTCTTCTTCTTCTTCTTCTTCTTCTTCTTCTTCTTCTTCTTCTTCTTCTTCTTCTTCTTCTTCTTCTTCTTCTTCTTCTTCTTCTTCTTCTTCTTCTTCTTCTTCTTCTTCTTCTTTTTCTTCTTCTTCTTCTTCTTCTTCTTCTTCTTCTTCTTCTTCTTCTTCTTCTTCTTCTTCTTCTTCTTCTTCTTCTCATTCTTCTTCTTCTTCTTCTTCTTCTTCTTTCTTCTTCTTCTTCTCTTCTTCTTCTTCTTCTTCTTCTTCTTCTTCTTCTTCTTCTTCTTCTTCTTCTTCTTCTTCTTCTTCTTCTTCTTCTTCTTCTTCTTCTTCTTCTTCTTCTTCTTCTTCTTCTTCTTCTTCTTCTTCTTCTTCTTCTTCTTCTTCTTCTTCTTCTTCTTCTTCTTCTTCTTCTTCTTCTTCTTCTTCTTCTTCTTCTTCTTCTTCTTCTTCTTCTCATTCTTCTTCTTCTTCTTTCTTCTTCTTCTTCTTCTTCTCATTCTTCTTCTTCTTCTTCTTCTTCTTCTTCTTCTTCTTCTTCTTCTTCTTCTTCTTCTTCTTCTTCTTCTTCTTCTTCTTCTTCTCCTTCTTCTCATTCTTCTTCTTCTTCTTCTTCTTCTTCTTCTTCTTCTTCTTCTTCTTCTTCTTCTTCTTCTTCTTCTTCTTCTTCTTCTTCTTCTTCTTCTTCTTCTTCTTCTTCTTCTTCTTCTTCTTCTTCTTCTTCTTCTTCTTCTTCTTCTTCTTCTTCTTCTTCTTCTTCTTCTTCTTCTTCTTCTTCTTCTTCTTCTTCTTCTTCTTCTTCTTCTTCTTCTTCTTCTTCATCATCATCTTTTTTTTCTTCTTCTCCTTTTTAGCTTTTGCCGACTGTAAACTGCGGCAGCAAGTGCTGGCTGTTACTGGGAGAGACTAAAAGAGACCTACGGAGACAGGTGAAACGAGCTTACAGGGACACAAAGAGAAAAAGGAGACGGACAGACGGACAAACTGAGAGACAGGCAGACATAGATATACAAAGAGACATCGAAGGAGGAAACAGGCAGAAAGAGAGAGAGAGAGACAGAGAGAAACAGACAGGCAGTTAGGAATAAAGAAGAGATACAGAGACAAAGCGGAAGGCGAAAAGAGATAACAGAGAGAGAGAGAAAGAGGGAGAGAGATTTTTGTTTCTGTCCACCCTTGGTTTGTGCTAGTCTCCTGTGTTCTGTACCTTAAGACAAAGCATTCCAAACTGTGTCACGACACATTAGTGTGTCGGCTGCAGTGTGAAAGTTGAGTCCTTATCTCCTATAAGGGGTTAACTAGTCCAGCCTATTCCTCTCCAGGATGACAGTCTTTACAGTTAGCATCTTAGGGACGAGAATCAGATAGCTACAAATCCTCGAAGCCCCATTCAACCGTACAGCCAAAAGGCACCCATAATCGGCTACAAAGCAGCCGGTAGTCCGGGGTTGAAGGTCTGTTGTGGAAGTTTGCCATAGCAGACTAAATTGCTGCATCATCTTTCAGTTATGTTTGTCTAACAGGTGTGTTAAAAGCCTTGCAGGTTTTGCAGTTCTGATCTGAGGCACATGAGTCGTCGATGTTAAATGGCTTTCATTTTTATTTATTTATGTATTTTTCTTTTCAGAAGCAAATTCGACAGCTGCGAGCGAAACTGAGGGCTCGTACTCGGGGATACGATAAAGGCGAAGGAAGTGCGAAAGATGTAAGTTTGTCCTGCTAAGGCACCTCTACCCCCCCCCCCCCCTCCACCCCCCCCCCTTGTCCATTTGAGTATGTCCCCTTGCCCCAGTAACTTTATAAGGGTAGAAACTGTCTCTTTTAGCTGTGTACAGACGTCCTCCTTTTAGCTGTGTACAAACGTCCTCCTATTAGCTGTGTACAAACGTCCTCCTATTAGCAGTGTAAAGACGGGCACTTTAAGCAGTGTACAGACGGTTTCCTTTTAGCAGTGTCGAAACGGGCACTTTTAGCTGTGTACAAACGGGTACCTTTGAGCAGTGTACAAACAGTACCTTTGAGCAGTGTACAAACATGTACCTTTTAGCAGTGTACAAACAGGTACCTTTGAGCAGTGTACAAACAGGTACCTTTGAGCAGTGTACAAACATGTACCTTTGAGCAGTGTACAAACGTCCTCCTATTAGCAGTGTACAAACGTCCTCCTATTAGCAGTGTACAAACGACTTCATTTGAGCAGTGTACAAACGGGCACTTTTAGCTGTGTACAAACGGGATCCTTTTAGCTGTGTACAAACGGGAACCTTTTAGCAGTGTACAAACGGGTACCTTTGAGCAGTGTACAAACGGGTACCTTTTAGCAGTGTACAAACGGGTACCTTTTAGCAGTGTACAAACGGCACCTTTTAGCAGTGTACAAACGGGATCCTTTTAGCAGTGTAGAAACGTGTCCCTTTTAGCAGTGTACAAACCTGTCCCTTTTAGCAGTGTACAAACCTGTCCCTTTTAGCAGTGTACAAACCTGTCCCTTTTAGCAGTGTACAAACGTGTCCCTTTTAGCAGTGTACAAACCTGTCCCTTTTAGCAGTGTACAAACGTGTCCCTTTTAGCAGTGTAGAAACGTGTCCCTTTTAGCAGTGTACAAACGGGTCCCTTTTAGCTGTGTACAAACGGCCCCTTTTAGCTGTGTACAAACGGCCCCTTTTAGCTGTGTACAAACGGCCCCTTTTAGCTGTGTACAAACGAGCCCTTTTAGCAGTGTGCAAACGGGTACCTTTTAGCAGTGTGAGTGAGTGAGTGACTTTCTACCCCACTAGGACATCACACAAGCGATAAACACCCGATGACATAAAGTGCCACCATGTGGATGAGGATCACCGTGGAGAGGTCCCAGAAACCGAGTTCAGACATTTGGCCATTTTTATGGCCTGCCTATATTGGGGCCCCTAGCAAAAGCCAGAGTGGGGCTTCAAATAACCAAAAATTACGTCCTGAAAAGGACGTAAGGACTTTTAGCACCAGGTGATAAACACCCGATGACACAAAGGCCCCATTTTAGCAGCGTGGAGAACGACCAGACTTTCAGCATTGTACAAACGATGACCTGCCTATATTGCAGCCCTAGGCAAAAGCGGCCCCTTCAAATAACAAAAAATAGCGTCCTATGTAGGAAACGTACCTTTAATAGCAGTGTAAATACCGGTACCTTTTAGCAGTGTACAAACCGGTACCTTTTAGCTGTGTACAAACAGGTACCTTTTAGCTGTGTACAAACGGGTACCTTTAGCAGTGTAGAAACTTTCTTCTTCTTCAGCATTCCGAGCCCTTGAGGTCCTTGTTGCACATATCACCCGCCTCTGTTCATCTCTCTGGTTGGCCTGATCTTTCCAGTTGGTGACAACAAGTGTTTGCAGGTCTGTCTGGACATTATCTCTCTATAGTCTGCCTCGTGGTCTACGACCAGTCATCTCCCTTGTGTATACAGTTTTAACTTCTCGGTCATCTGACATTCTTTCAATATGCCCCAACCATTTCAGTCAATTAGCTCTAAGGATGCAAGTGATCAATGATGATTTAATCAGATTATGAATTTCGTTGTTGCTTCTTACTCTCCATTCCCCGCTGTTTGCGTCTTTGATGGGTCCAAAGATTCTTCGTAAGACTTTGTTTTCCCTGTAATAAGACTTCATCTCTTTTAGTGGTGATCCAAACATTCTCTTTACAAAAATGTCTGTGTATATTTTATCGTATTTCAAGTGTGTTATGTTTATATGTCATTCAACAGATTGTTATTATTATCGCATTTTCATATATATATATATATATATATATATATATATATATATATATATATATATATATATATATATACACACACACACATGCACACTTGAAATAATATGACATGTATAAACAAATACAGTGGTACTTCAGAAATAGAACATAATACCTTCTGAGACGGAGTGGGGAATTCCAGATTGTTGGATCCAAAGGTCTTGACAGAGTTGGACTATTTTTGTTTCTTTTAAAAATTACCCGTGGCTTTCAGGTCTACCCCGCCTTGAGTAGGTTCTAGGTTCAGTCCTGGGAAGTAAAGGCGGCCGGCGTGATGCTCTCATCCCTCAGCAAGTGCCGCTCTATAAAATATAGATCTAGCCCTATATGCCCAGTACACCGAAAGATGTGAAAAATGGTCGTTTACTTTTCTTTTACCAGTTAACTAGAGCTCTACCAGGGAGCCACCTCTCAACAACTTCTAGCGATGGTCAGAAGATGTTGGATGACAGCAGTTCTAATCCTTACAGCTAAATCTCTGTCATCAGACTAGGAATGTAATACAAACCGGCAAGAATCTTTTTTCCTTGCCCAAATCTTCCAATAAAATTTTACGAATGGTCTCTCTATTAACTTCAAATTCATCCGCCATCATCCTCACACTGTTATGAGAATGAATCCTGATATACCTGCCAAAACAGCTCTCACATGGACACCAGAGGGAAAGACAAAACAGGGGCGCCCAAAAGCAACATGGAGACGAACGATGGAAAGTGACTTGAGGCGGCATCTTTGACATGGACAACTGCACTGAAGATTGCACAGGACAGGAAAGCATGGAAAGTCCTCTCTGAACCCTCATGTGCCACTAGGCGCAACGAGAACTGAATCATCCTCACAGTATCCATTCTCTGACTTTTGCAATGGGTTCCTCATTACGAACAGAAACAAGGCGTCCAGGTCTAGTTGCATTGGTAATCATGTCTACACCACTTTTGCTTCTAAATACCACCTGAAAATCTGTGCACGGGATAACCAAAAAAAAATCATGGTTGCCTCTTTAGATTCCATGCTTTGCTTCAGATGTGACATTTTTTTTGTCGTGGCCATAATACAATCAGTCTCATTACAGAATTCCCCCGTGCGAGTTCCGGGACCCCATTGTGGGGAAAACAAAAATAGAGACACTGCCTCCCCAAAAGCATGTGTCGACTAATTGGGGAGCTTCCTTTGAAGTCGGAGTGCATCTGCCGGAGAGTCAAGGAACCAACAGTCTGTATTCAAGAGAATGAGATCTGTAAAACTGATGCACACGCAACACTCAGGTTCTAGAGCAGGACTGCAGTTCAGTAGTGGACGAGCAACCAGAACTTTCCTCTAGAGTGTACAGCTGGTGAACGCAAAGAAGAAGATTACAGAATTATCGGACCTTGTACTTTATTATGTCGTTTTCTATTGACTTTGTCTCATTAGTTTAGGAAATATTTCAGTACCGTAATGTAATAATTTCATTTGTGTATGTTGTGTTTCGTTTCTTGTCGTTGATTTGCCGCGGCAACGTTTGTACAATGTAAGTGGTTATGTGAAGCTGAAATACACTTTATGTGTTTCTTATTACTTTTAAATGTTTTTCCCCTCGTGTCTGTCTTTTCCTGTCTATTTTAGACTCAGATACGCAGGTGCAGTCTGAGTTTGTTGTTGTCCGGTGTCACTAGATTGACGTCAGCAATATATTTTGACATGAATACGTGTAAATATAATTATTCCCCCCCCCCCTTTTTTTGTTTCTCTTCCCCACCTCCCCCACCAACCCCCTTTTTTTCGGACAGGATGATGAGGACGAGGCATTTAACAGGGCGGTAAGAATGTGAGCATGTGTGGGCATCTATATAATCATCTCATCATCATCATTATCATCCTGGAACACTGCATGTCGTTGGGTCACTAGTTTCTGTTGACTGTCTGATCAACTCTCTCCACCCTTGACGGTCAGTTGCGTTGGACTTCCTGGGCTGCACGCCTCAGGCCTGTCCAGTCAGTCAAGTTCTGTATCCATGTCTTTCTTGGTCTGCCTCTTCTTCTCTACTCAGTCCTGCGGTATTATTTTTGAGAGACTGTTAGATTTTAGTCTCATATCCGTACCATTGCATTATCAGTCTTTTCACTGTAGTTCAAAGATGTGTTGTCTTTGCCAGTGTGCCGGGTAACTATACGTCGAACCTCGTCATTTGTCATGTGGTCTATGGATGATATAACAGAGAATTTTTCGGAAAGATCTAATTTTCTATGCTTGTATCTTCTGTTGGAGTTCAGCTGTTACAGTTCGCTTTTGACAGCCATGTGTAAACATCTAGTGCTCTGTAGATGTATACTACTGTCATTCAGCTACTAACTCAGCCGGTGAAACTCACCTTGAGTTGATTGGTCTAAAGCCTTACTTTTATTCTATTTTTTTTTTGGGGGGGGGGGGTTCAAAATGACCTTAGCTCTCAGGTCGACTTAGCCTGGGTACCAGGTAAAAATCATGGGAAGTAAAGGCGGCCGGTGTGATGTTGGTCACATCGTCCCCCGAATGCTGATTGGTCGATTTAGGCCCAGCCCAACTAATGTGTCCTGTTTGTGTAAATACCTTGTGGTGGTCTGTACCGGCACCTTTTATAGACACTCTGAAGTCATTACCGGCACCTTTTATAGACACTCTGAGGTCATTACCGGCACCTTTTATAGACACTCTAAGGTCATTACCGGCACCTTTTATAGACACTCTGAGGTCATTACCGGCACCTTTTATAGACACTCTGAGGTCATTACCGGCCTCTTATATATACACTCTGAGGTCATTACCGGCACCTTTTATAGACACTCTGAGGTCATTACCGGCACACAGTCACTCTGAGGTCATTACCGGCACCTTTTATTCTGAGGTCATACCGGCACCTTTTATAGACACTCTGAGGTCATTACCGGCACCTTTTATAGACACTCTGGGGTCATTACCGGCACCTTTTATAGACACTCTGAGGTCATTACCGGCACCTTTTATAGACACTCTGAGGTCATTACCGGCACCTTTTATAGACACTCTGAGGTCATTACCGGCACCTTTTATAGACACTCTGAGGTCATTACCGGCACCTTTTATAGACACTCTGAGGTCATTACCGGCACCTTTTATAGACACTCTGAGGTCATTACCGGCACCTTTTATAGACACTCTGAGGTCATTACCGGCACCTGTTTTTCTGGAATAAAGCCATTTTATTTGTATTATTATGAATAATATTATTAGTACTATTAATATTATTATTATCATTATCATTATGGTAGAAGCCCTCAAGGTGCCCCCCCCCCCCCCCTGGTCCGTCGACCCTGGGCGTTAATGGTGGCTTCGAGATTAGTGAATGCTTTTCATAGTTTCACGATCATCGAGTACGAGGGTTCAATTCTCGTTGCGAACGTTTTTTTTTTTTTTTTTTTTTGTAAATTGTTCTAGTATCACTGAGACAGTGGCACGAGAGTCACACCATGGAAGAGATTGGGAACTCACCAGGTAATATGCTTTTAACTGGGTACCAGGTAGGTCACTGGAAGTAAAAGCGGTCGGAATAATGCTGACCACATCACCCACCGAGTGCTATAAAATATAGGTCTAGCCCTATATGCCAAAAACAGCTGAGATCGGGGAAAAGGGTCCTTCAATTTTACTTCACTATTCAGCACGAAAGATGTGGCTCTACAGAAGAATCCTAATAATTCCTTAGACAGTCGAAGTGAGCAACCCAGATATTTAGAAAGAGACGAGGGCTCAAAGACAGCTTATCAAAAACATCAGAAAGAGACAGTCTTTTTTTTTGTGTGTGTGGTGGGGGTGAGGGGGGGGGGGGGTCATGTTGTGAAAAGAAGGAAACTAGAGCATGTTGTGACCACTGGAATGATCTGTGGAAAGAGAGAGACAGAGGAAGACAGCGAGAGAAGATTCATGACAACCTTTTTTGTCATGGCATAGAGGGGTGTCAACACACGAACAGATACACGCAGTTGCGGATCGCTGATTGTGGAGAGGCATGATCGCCCAGGCCAGTCGGCAATTCACTTGATGATGACGTTGATGACGTTGATGATGATGATGGCTGCAGGAGAGAGCTGTTTGGCTGGGAACATAGCTAATTTTTACAGGATCGTCAAGAATGATTGTCGGGATTTTACAAATGTTATCAAAGATGTGTCGGCTCTGTGGCTAAGTCGATGCGAACGCTTCGTTATGCCGGGATGCCGGGTTCGATCCCAGCTGTGAGCCATGCGCCTTGTGTTGGTTTCGACAGTGATATCAAGAAAGCCGACCGTCCAGAAAGAAATGGCAAACTACTGGACGTAAATTTGGCTAGAAAAACCACACAACAGTCAGGAGCTGTTGGGGTTGGTTCTGCAACGTCCTGTAAAGGATACGCAACTAACTTTTTATAAAAAGTGTACTGAATGGACATACACGGATGGTGTCTTTAAAAGTTCCGTTACGTTCAATGTTTCATGGGACCATGGGATTCAAGTCTGCACTGAGGAGATACGGAATTGCCAGCACAGCGCGTCGCTGCAGCAATTGCAGTAGAAACATTGGACGCGATCCGGAGGACGTGGTGGGAGAATGAGTACCGCCCTGGCATCACCAGTGACACCACAGCTACAAAATGGGCATCTAGATGGAAGTGGGGTCTTTGTTGGAAAAATTATCGTTATTTGTGCACTTTATTAGACTAAAAAGCCAGTCTTACAGGTCATCAAAGAGCAACAAACGAAGTGGTTTCGACACCTAACAAGAATGCTCTAGTACTATCTGCCACATCGAGCCATGGAGTAATGGCATTAAGAAAAGCCTTGGAGAAAAAACATCAGTCCTAATAGTGCTCTTGACAGAACTCATCAACGAATGTTACATCTTCCCCCGACACTTCATTTAGATACAAGGTGGAAGAGAAGAAAGAAGAGGAAGAAGAAGAAGAAGAAGAAGAAGAAGAAGAAGAAGAAGAAGAAGAAGAAGAAGAAGAAGAAGAAGAAGAAGAAGAAGAAGAAGAAGAAGAAGAAGAAGAAGAAGAAGAAGAAGAAGAAGAAGAAGAAGAAGAAGAAGAAGAAGAAGAAGAAGAAGAAGAAGAAGAAGAAGAAGAAGAAGAAAGAAGAACAAGAAAAAGAAGAAGAAGAAGAAGATTAGATGAACTATATACAGCCCAGTTAAACCTGTTCTTACTAAGGTAAGTCTCAAACTTTAAACTTGTCTGAACATTTTAACACACCACACGTGTATGTCAGTTTAAATACTTGTTTCATGAGAAAGGTTGATAATTCATTCTCTTTGACCCTGTATGGGTGTTCATGTAATCAGCAATGTCCATTATGTAAGTGTAGAGTGCTGACTTGGTTTGTTCTATCCAGGTGTTTGAGGACATTTGTTTCCCGTGATTGTATCCTGTGGGGGTGAAATGACACTGGTGTTTTAGGGATGTCAGGAGGCGGGGAGTCAAGCGACGTTAACGTTTTAGGGATGTCAGAAGGCGGGGTGTCAAGTGACTTTAACGTTTTAGGGATGTCAGAAGGCGGGGTGTCAAATGACGTTAACGTTTTAGGGATGTCAGAAGGCGGGGTGTCAAGTGACTTTAACGTTTTAGGGATGTCAGAAGGCGGGGTGTCAAGTGACGTTACGTTTTAGGGATGTCAGAAGGCGGGGTGTCAAGCGACGTTAACGTTTTAGGGATGTCAAAAGGCGGGGTGTCAAGTGACGTTAACGTTTTAGGGATATCAGAAGGCGGGGTGTCAAGTGACGTTAACGTTTTAGGGATGTCAGGGGGTCAAGGCGGGGGGCGGAGGTGTCAAGATGTTCAGGGATGTCAGGAGACGTTAAACGTTTTAGGGATATCAGAAGGCGGGGTGTCAAGTGACGTTAACGTTTTAGCCATGCAAGACAACTGGGTCCTAAATGACGTAGCTGTTGCAGTGATACAAGAGTAACTCTAAGTAGAGAATACTCTTCCACACATTCTGCGTATTGGGCATATAAAGCTAGACCTATCATCATCATCATCATCATGAACCACTTCTGCCGTTAAACGCCGTGGGGAGGAATAATTTGCGATCCAGTGCACGTTGGCTGCCACTGGCTATTGTCATGCCGTGAAGGCGTAGAGTGTAGCTAGACCTATTTGGGTATAAATCAATCCGCACTCGGTGGGAGACATCATTCCGATCGCCTTTACATCCCAGAAATGCGCCTGGTACCCACTCAATGTTCAGTCGACCTGGGAGCCATGGTCATTTTTGAAGAGATAAAAACAAAAATAAAAAACTGGCTCCTCCATGACCCGAACCCACAAACTTCCAATCGGCAGACGAGACTCTAGCTGCTACACCACGGCGACTCATGATACAAGAATGGCGGGTGCTGAAATGACATAGATGTTTTACTGATGACAGATGCCTCAGTTTGAAATGACACACATTTTCTAGTGATGTCAGAAGGTTGCGTGTAACTATGGCATTGGTGTTCCAGTGACGCAGGAAGGGCGGATGTGTGAACTTGTTCTTCGCATTTTTCCGACTGTAAGCTCAGGTGGAAAGTTCAAATGGGCAGGCAGTGGGTCTATTCTTATTCTCCCCCCCCCCCCCGCCCCACAATCGGGCCCCGGAACCCAAACGGGCGGGTGTGTGAACTTACGCTGGCACAGTTGTCAAGGGTGTCATGTCTTTGCAGGAAAGGATGCGATTGGCCAAGGACTTCCACCAGACGAAGGAGGAGATAAACCAGGTCCGACTGCACGCCAGCGAGAAACTGGTCCGACTGATAATTGACAGTAGTAAGGCCGTCAAGGAACTGCGAAAACAGATTGATAAGGTGGGTTTATATTATAGCACAAAGTGGGCTTTATAGCACAAGATGGGTGTTATAGCACACTGTCTGTTTTATAGCGCAGTGTAAGTTTTATAGCACAATGTAGTTTTTATAGCGCAGGGTGAGTTTTAAAGCACAGGATGAGTTTATAGTACACGGTGGTTTTTATAGCGCAGGGTAAGTTATAAAGCACAGGGTGAGTTTTATAGCGCGCGTTAGTTTTATAGCCCAATGTGGTTTAAATAGCACACGGTGGGTTTAATGTTAATAGCACAATGTGATGCTTTTAGGGCGCAGGGTGAGTTTTATAGTGCAGGGTAAGTTATATATAGCAGAGAGTGAGTTTTATAGCACAGGGCGAGTTTTATAGTACAGGGTGAGTTTTATAGCACACTGTGGGTTTTATAGCGCATAGAGAGTTTTATAGCACACTGGGTTTTATAGCGCATAGCGAGTTTTATAGCACACTGTGGGTTTTATAGCGCAGTGTGAGTTTTATAGCACTGTGGGATTTATAGCACACTGTCAGTCTCATAGAACACATATATTGTATTTATTTGAAACAGCACTGGAGCTTGTCAAACTTTAACGTGACATACATGTTCATTTGAGGAAACAGAAAGCAGCTCACACACTGGTTGTGACAGACTCAGTGAGCATGCCATAAGAAGATTCAAACTGACAAACTCCGACTACAATCTATTGACAGCATCCAGAATCTCGCCTCAAGAAACTATCTTGGTTGGATATGCCGGGGTGAAAGGAAATGAAAGTGTCGACAAACTGGCCAGGGCTTCAGTGGCTGATGGTGGAAGAAGTATGGGCAGGGAAAACATACTGAATACACCGCGTTGCTAAAGACAAGGGAGTCAGAAATCGGCGAATTAGCCACATGTGGATTGGCACCTGAGACAACAGATCATGTCCTCGAAGACTTTCCCAAGTACAAAATATCAAGGCCAAAACTTTTGGCCAAGAGAAACATCGGTGCAAGTTAAACTTTACAGGTCGCTGAGTGAATTACAACAGAAGCGAAGTTCATACTAGAGTTTCATACTACATATTGCAGACATAGACAATTTATTTCAAGCGAAAGAAAGAAGAAGAAGAAGAAGAAAAACGATAAACCGCCTGTTGGAAATGTGTGTTGAATGAGGATAAACATGCAGAAACCAGCTGCAGACTTGCAGACCAGGAAAGGAAGAAACGTCAGTCTCCTACTGGTGTAGGTTGGGCATGGAGACAATGAGATAGCTATTACATCGGACGACAGGAGCAGAAGTGGGTCGAACCCATGTGATAGGATGTCGATATGGACAACAAGTAACAAGCAGCAGATAAACCAAAGACATAACAGCCTTTTTCTTGTTTGTTTCTGGCGATCTTGTGAACTCACCGTGAATATCTCTCAGAGACAAATATGTCTCTCTCTCTCTCTCTCTCTCTCTCTCTCTCTCTCTCTCTCTCTCTCTCTGTTAGATGTATGGAAGTACACCAACATGTCTCTCTCTCTCTCTCTGTTAGATGTATGGAAGTACACCAACATCTCTCTCTCTCTCTCTCTCTCTCTGTTAGATGTATGGAAGTACACCAACATTTCTCTCTCTCTCTCTCTCTCTCTGTTAGATGTATGGAAGTACACCAACATGTCTCTCTCTCTCTCTCTCTCTCTGTTAGATGTATGGAAGTACACCAACATGTCTCTCTCTCTCTCTGTTAGATGTGTGGAAGTACACCAACATGTCTCTCTCTCTCTGTTAGATGTATGGAAGTACACCAACATATCTCTCTCTCTCTCTCTCTCTCTCTCTCTCTCTCTGTTAGATGTATGGAAGTACACCAACATGTCTCTCTCTCTCTCTCTCTCTGTTAGATGTATGGAAGTACACCAACATGTCTCTCTCCCTCTATGTTAGATGTATGGAAGTACACCAAAATCTCTCTCTCTCTCTCTGTTAGATGCGTGGAAGTCCACCAACATGTCTCTCTCTCTCTGTTAGATGTGTGGAAGTACACCAACATGACTCTCTCTCTCTCTCTCTGTAAGATGTATGGAAGTAAACCAACATGTCTCTCTCTCTCTCTCCTTGTTAGATGTATGGAAGTACACCAACATGTCTCTCTATCTCTCCTTGTTAGATGTATGGAAGTACACCAACATGTCTCTCTCTCTCTCTCTCTCTGTGTTAGATGTGTGGAAGAACACCAACATGTCTGTCTCTGTTAGATATGTGGAAGTACACAGACATGCCTCTCTCCCTCTCTGTTAGATGTGTGGAAGTACACCAACATGTCTATCTACCTCTCTGTTAGATATGTGGAAGTACACCAACATGTCTCTCTCCCTCTATGTTAGATGTGTGGAAGTACACCAACATGTCTCTCTCCCTCTATGTTAGATGTGTGGAAGTACACCAACATGTCTATCTATCTCTCTGTTAGATATGTGGAAGTACACAAACATGTCTTTCTCCCTCTATGTTAGATGTGTGGAAGTACACCAACATCTCTTTCTCTCTCTCTCTATCTCTCTCTCTCTCTCTCTGTTAGATGTGTGGAAGTACACCAACATGTCTCTGTCTCTCTGTTAGATGTGTAAAAGTACACCAGCATGCCTCTCTGTGTGTTAGATGTGTGGAAGTACACCAACATGCCTCACTCTCTCTAAAACTGTTAGATGTGTGGAAGTACACCAACATGTCTCTCTATGTGTGCTAGTTGTGTGGAAGTACACCATTTTGTGCAAGCAACTAGTGTGTAGAGGTAGCAAGGCAGATCCATCATGTGTGTAAATCAGATGTGTACCTACTGCAGGGTGCGTCCGCCTTGTGTAAATATGACGTGTACGTGCAGGATTTGTCCATCTCCTGTGTAGATCCAATGTGTACATGTATGTGTGTTTATCTCTTGTGTAAATCTGATTTACGTGCAGGATGTGTCCATACTGTGAATAAATCTGATGTTTAGATGCACGTCCATCGTGTGTAAACCTGATGTGTACATACAGGGTGTGTCCGTCTCGTGTGTATATATGATGTGTACATGCAGGGTGTATCCATCTTGTGTGTATATCTGTGTACCTGCAGGGTGTGTCCATCTCGTGTGTAAATCTGATGTGTACATGCAAGGTGTGTACATCTTATGTGTACATGCAGGCTGTGTCCATCTCGTGTGTAAATATGATGTGTACATGCAGGCTGTGTCCATCTCGTGTGTAAATCTGATGTGTACATGCAAGCTGTGTCCATCTCGTGTGTAAATCTGATGTGTACATGCAGGCTGTGTCCATCTCGTGTGTAAATCTGATGTGTACATTCAGGGTGTGTCCATCTCGTGTGTAAATCTGATGTGTACATGCAGGGTGTGTCCATCCCGTGTGTAAATCTTATGTGTACATGCAGGGTGTGTCCATCCCGTGTGTAAATCTGATGTGTACATGCAGGGTGTGTAAATCTGATGTGTACATGCAGGCTGTGTCCATCTCGTGTGTAAATCTGATGTGTACATGCAGGCTGTGTCCATCTCGTGTGTAAATCTGATGTGTACATGCAGGCTGTGTCGGTGCTCAAGCTGGCAGAAATTTGTCGCAAGCTGGAGACGGAAGAAGAGAAGCTGGTGCCGTTCTACGTGTCCTCGCTGGGGGAGCAGAAGAACCTCAAGAATGTCGCCGTTGAACCATCCTCTCGGCTTCTGGCTGAAGTTAGTTCCTCTTGTATGTTGTTTTTAGTTTTTTGTAGTATGTGGTTATATTATATGTTGTTTGTTAGTTTTTTTGTAGTATGTTGTTATGTTATGTGTTGTTTTTAGTTTTTTGTAGTATGTTGTTATATTATATGTTGTTTGTTAGTTTTTTTTTTGGTAGTATGTTGTTATGTTATGTGTTGTTTTTAGTTTTTTGTAGTATGATGTTATGTTATGTGTTGTTTTTAGTTTTTTGTAGTATGTTGTTATATTATATGTTGTTTGTTAGTTTTTTTTTGTAGTATGTTGTTATGTTATGTTTTTAGTTTTTTGTAGTGTTATATGTTGTTTGTTAGTTTTTTGCAGTATGTTGTTATGTTATATGTTGTTTGTTAATTTTTTGTAGTATGGTTTATGTTATATGTTGTTTGTTAGTTTTTTTTAAACTATGATGTTATGTTGTATGTAAGTTTCATTTTTTTTTGTAGTACGTTATATGTTGTTTGTTAGTTGTTGTTTTTTTGCAGTATTTAGTTATGTTATATGTTGTTTGTTAGTTTTTTGTAGTATGTTGTTGTTAATTTTTTTGTAGTATGTTGTTATGTTAGATGTTTTTTTTTTTAATTTTTTGTAATATGTTATGTTTTATGTTGTTTGTTAACTTAATTAGTATCTTATGTTATATGTTGTTTGTTAGTGTTTTTTTTTTTTTGTTGGTAGTATGTTCTATGTTAATTTTTTTAGTATGTTATGTTAGTTTTTTGTAGTATGTTGTTATGTTGTATGTTAGTTTTTTAGTAGTATGTTGTTATGTTATATCTTGTTTATTAGTTCTTTTTTTGTAGTATGTTGTTATGTTATATGTTGTTTGTTAATTTTTTGTGGTATGATGTTATGTTGTATGTTGTTTGTTAGTTTTTCGTAGTATGTTGTTATGTTATATGTTGCTTGTAAGTATATTTGCATGTTAATTGACAATTTATGTATTAGTATGTTCATTGATAGTTCATGTTGTAAGTTGACCGTTGTTAGTTTATGCTATAGATTTTTTAAATTTGCTCTTGAATGTTATAAGTTTATGTAGTATGTTGTTAGTTTCTGTTGTGTGTTGTTAATTTATATTGCTTGTTGTTAGGTTTACATTACATGTTGTTTGTTTCTGCTGTGTGTTGTTTGTTTTCTATGTTATTAGTTGCTGTGTACATTGTCAGCTTCTATTCTGTGTTTTTAGTTTCTGGGACGGGTTGTTAGATTCAGTTGTATGTTGTTACTTCCTGCTATATCTTGCTAGTGTTGTTGTATGCTGTTAGTTTCTATTGTATTTTTTAGTTTATTGTTGTATCGTGATTGTCGCGATCATGAAGCAAATGTCTCCTGTTGCATGTCGATTGTTTTCTTGTTACATGTGTGGAATATGTCTCTCTCTTTCTCTCTCTCTGTTACATGTGTGGAAGTACACCATTATGTCTCTCTCTCTCTCTCTCTCTCTGTCTCTCTCTCTCTCTCTCTCTCTCTCTCTCTCTGTTACATGTGTGGAAGCACACCAATATGTCTCTCTCTCTCTCTCTCTCTCTCTCTCTCTCTCTCTCTCTCTCTCTCTCTCTCTGTGTTAGATGTGTTGAAGTACAACAATGCATCTCTCTGTTAGATGCATCGCCTTTTCATTTTCTTGTAGTCCTGCAGTCTCTCTCGGAGACTCTCACACACTCTCTCTCTCTCTCTCTCTCTCTCTCTCTCTCTCTCTCTCTCTCTCTCTCTCTCTCTCTCTCTCTCAGTGCTGTGTGAAAGCGTACTAACATGTCTATGGTTTTGTAGGCAATGCAGGACTGCTATGGTCTGGAGAATTTCTGGAAACGATACAACAAGGTTTTGCTGGACAAACTGTCCCTGGACAAGGAGAAAGACTCGCTGACGGCCGAGAATCAGCAGCTAAGGAGATTGCTCAAGCAGTACATGGACAGTATTTCTGTCAATGAGCAAGTCATGAATCAGAATAATCCACTCCTGGTGGTCAAAAACGGCTTGACATCATGTAAGTACCCACTCAACATGAGTGACATCATGTAAGCACTCACTCAACATGAGTGACATCATGTAAGTGCTCACTCAACATGGGTGACATCATGTAAGTGCTCACTCAACATGGGTGACATCATGTAAGTACCAACTCAACATGAGTGACATCATGTAAGTACCCACTCAACATGAGTGACATGTAAGCACTCACTCAACATGAGTGACATCATGTAAGTACCCACTCACCATCTGTTACATTCATTTAAGTGCTCATTCAACATGTGTAACATCATGTAAGTGCTCACCATGTGTGACATCATGTAAGTAACTCACTCAATATGTGTGACATCATGTAAGTACTCACCATGTGTGACATCATGTAAGTGCTCACTATGTCTGACATCATGTAAGTACTCACCATGTGTGACATCATGTAAGTGCTCACCATGTGTGACATCATGTAAGTGCTCACCATGTGTGACATCATGTTGTTGTTGTCTGAAGATGGTGGCCTGGTCCCTTTTGTTAATGGTTAATGCTGTCATTAGGATCAGGGCCAGACATATGTCTAAAACCTCTTTCCAGTGTCTCCCAAAGGCCCATCTGTTCAACCAAGTCTCTTTGTTTATACTCTTATCAGTGTTTTGCTGTCTGGAGGGTTGTCGCGTAGGGGGTTGTTCTTTTGTTGCCCCTTCTTTGCAAACTGCCAGCTTTTCATTACTGGTTGCCCGGGGTACCCGGAACCCTGCATACTATTCTGAGTTTTATGAGGTAAAAAGCTATCGGGACCAGGATTTTCTGGGTATTCGTTCTGCAGCGTTCATTGCCCCCCAGAGTTTAAGGGCAGACATGAATCTGTGAAGATACAATATTTTTACCTTTTAGGGGAAACATCCATTACAGTCTTTAGGTGGGTTACTGCTGTTTCCCGTGCAATTTTTTCAGTTCATATTTTAACAAATTTTTCCGATGGGACAAAAAACTTTCCCCAGGGGTNTCTGGTTCCTTCCTCCCACAGGGGGCAGTACGGTGTGGTGCACCGGGTTTATTATCGAGGTTTGCTCCTCTAGATCCATTGTGTTTTGCCTGGGGATTCGCACCCCCAGTTACCGGGACTACCTCGGGGAGGCTGTGACTCTTCGCCACGCACAATGGTCTTGAGGTAAGAGAGGTTTTGCTAGGTCAAGAGGCTGACACCACAATGGACGCTCCTTTCGTGAACAGATATTCACTAGACCTAGGGTGAAGTAAGGGGGGGAACCCACTACCCACAACACCAACACTTCTTACCCCTGCTTCTGGAGGCTCAGTCCCTGTGACATCATGTAAGTGCTCACCATAAGTGACATCATGTAAGTGCTCACCATGTGTGACATCATGTAAGTGCTCACCATGTGTGACATCATGTAAGTGCTCACCATGTGTGACATCATGTAAGTACTCACCATGTGTGACATCATGTAAGTGCTCACCATGTGTGACATCATGTAAGTGCTCACCATGTGTGACATCATGTAAGTACTCACCATGTGTCACATCATGTAAGTGCTCACCATGTGTGACATCATGTAAGTACTCACCATGTGTGACATCATGTAAGTACTCACCATGTGTGACATCATGTAAGTACTCACCATGTGTGACATCATGTAAGTGCTCACACAAAATGTGTGACATCCTGTAAATGCTCACTTAGCATGAGTGACATCATGTAAGTGCTCATTCAACATGTGTGATATCATAGAAATACCCAGTCAGCATGTGTGCTCTCATGTAAATGCCCACTCAACATGTGAGACATCATGTAAGAAGATTGGTACCATTTAATGCCCACCAATTTCTTCCCATGTGGGTCCTGAAGCCCCTTTAAAAAAAAAGTAAAGGACCCTTTTCCATGCCTTTAGGCGTAGAGGGCATATAGGGCTAGACCTATATTTTGTATAGACCAATGAGCACAAGATGGGTGATGTGGTCAGCATCACGCCAGCCGCCTCTACTTCTGGTACCAATTCAAGGCTGGGTCGACCTGGGAGCCAAGGTCATTTTTTTAAAATCAGTCCGGCTCCCCCAGGGGGCGAACCCATGACCTTCTGATCCACGGCGAGCGTCTAACCGCTCCATCACGACAACTCCCGCCGATTTAATGCCTACTAATTTCTCCCCAAGTGAGTTTTGGGGCTCCATTTAATGCCTACCAATTTCTCCCCAAGTGAGTTTTGGGGCTCCATTTAATGCCTACCAATTTCTCCCCATGTGAGTTCTGGGGCTCCATTTAATGCTCATCAATTTCTCCCCATGTGAGTTCTGGGGCTCCATTTAATGCTCATCAATTTCTCCCCAAGTGAGTTCTGGGGCTCCATTTAATGCTCATCAATTTCTCCCTATGTGAGTTCTGGGGCTCCATCTAATGCTCACCAATTTCTCCCCATGTGGGTTCTGGAGCTCCATTTAATGCTCATCAATTTCTCCCCATGTGGGTTTTAGGGCTCCATTTAATGCTCACCAATTTCTCCCATGTGGGTTCTGGAGCTCCATTTAATGCTCACCAATTTCTCCCATGTGGGTTTTAGGGCCCTATTTTGGGAAACAATAGACATACTGCCTCCTAACAAGTATGACATGAAAAGGCTACTAATTAGTTTTATTTCCTTTAAAGTCAGAGTGCATCTGCCTGAGAGGAGAGAGGTCAACAGTCTGCTTGCAAATAAGCCACATCTGTAAAACAGATGTGCACGCAAAACTCAAGTTCTGGGGAAAACACTAAAGTCCAAAACTGGATGAACAACCAGAACTTTCCACCAGAGTTCACAGCTGGTGAATGCGAAGGAGAAGAGTTTATCAATTTCCTCTGTCAGAACAGATGAAATGACATGATATGACAGTGTCACAATCTCTTCAATACTGCCACACTCGTACCATCTCCGGAAATCATAAAAACATGCAGTTTTCAGTTGGTAGTCATGTCTATCCATAACCTTCTGTCTTGTGAAATTTCAATCAACTCTGACACAGATGATCCTCCATGCTGTATGGTGATGTTAGTTATGTCTATCCACAACCTTCTATCTCGTGAACTTTCAATCAACTCTGATTCGGATCATCCTCCAGGATGTCAAACTTTCCAGCGTGTTCTCTTGGTCTTTCACTGCCTCTCCTCCCCTCCAACTTTCCTACTGTCACGATGTGCTCCAGTTTTCTCCTCATCACATGACCAAAGAATGTAGATTGCCTCTTTCTGATGTGGACAATCAGTTCTCTTCATGAGCCAGTTTCTTTTAAGACGTCTTCGTTACTCCTTTTAGTTTAAAATAAACTGTCCACTGCTGAATTCTAACCATGGTATTCAACGATCATGAAATTGTTAAACTCATTCACTAACCTCTAGAGGTTTTGAAGTTTGAACAACGGACCAACAATCATAGCACACGGATGTAACCCATAAGTGCTCTGTTTTTCTTCTAACTCAAGTCTGAGTCCGAAGAAGCTCAGCTCAGTGCACAGGCTATGTAGCATAGGCAAGGATCCTGAAATACTTTCGGTAGATTTTTAACTCCAAATGTTTGCCTGGGCAGCGCAGTGAAGCTACTCTTTTCGATTTCCAACTGCCAAGCCAAAGGATTTTTTTTTTTTTACATGCGCAACAATGCACACGGCTGTCTGATCTCCCTACCCAGAGACCAGGAAGAATTACTAGAAGTCCAGGTCCACGTGAAAAAATCCAAGCCCTTCCAGGGAATTGAAACCAGAACCTCTAGCACTCGATGTGGGTACCATGCCTTGAGACCACGCAGAGTCTCATTAACCGCTGAAGCTAACAAGGTGTTTGACAAACAAAAAACATTCTTTGCTTTTGTTTTTTTTTGGTCTTGGATAACAACGAATTAGCCTATTGAATATTTTATTGGATGCCCTCGCTAACATAACACTGCCACGTTGTGAGTTCAATTTTCGTAATAACAATGCTTTGGCTAATCAAGATTTTGTCTGACAAACATGATTCTAGAGCGAATATTTTCGTTAGCTGAGGTATCAGGCTTAGTTACTTAAAAACAAAAAAGATAAACTAGTTACCTATTATCCCAACCACAGGCAAAATGCCAGAGATGTGCACCTGCCTGCGACAGGCACCACCAAAGACAGTCATTGAAGCAGCTCATGTGGCCAGGCAATTGCTCAACTGATGCTCTCCTGTCCACTGGTGTCTGTGAGGGGGCCATATATGTGTATGTGTTGTATGTAGCAGCATGGCATTGTGTGTGAGAGCATGTGTGTGAGAGAGCATGTGTGTGAGAGAGCATGTGTGTGAGAGAGCATGTGTGTGTGTATATGCAGGCATGAGTTCAGGTGTGCATGTTGGTGTGACCGAGTCAATAAATATGCTTGAATAGGTGAGAGTGAGTAAATAATGTGTGAGAATATATGAGCAGCCAACTGGCCACAGTTTCTGACACAGCTGTGTGAATAGTATAAGACAAAGTCTGAGACTGCTGTTGATCTACATCATCAAGAGTATAAGACAGTCGGAGGCTGTTGAACAGGGTCATCAATAGTATAAAGACAAAGCCTGAGGCTGCTGAACAGCTTAATCAAGAGATAAGGCAAAGTCTGAGTCTGTTGAACTGTATCATCAGGAGTATAAGACAAAGTCTGAGACTGCTGTTGATCTACATCATCAAGAGACAGTCAGAGGCTGTTGAAAAGCGTCATCAAGAGTATAAAGACAAAGCCTAAAGCTGCTGAACAGCTTAATCAAGAGATAAGGCAAAGTCTCAGTCTTTTGAACTACATCATCAGGAGTATAAGACAAAGTCTGAGAATGCTGTTGATCAGCATTATCAAGAATACACGACAAAATCTGAAGCTGCTGAACAGTGTCATCAAGAATAAGAGGCTGTTTGAGAATAAGACAGAAGTCTGAGGCGGATGAACAGCTTAATCAAGTGTATAAGACACAGCCTGACCAGATATCTGGAAATTTCCTAGAAAAGGAACGGCACTCTTGATTCAATGGAAGCATCAGAAAAGTTGTGTCTTATGAGTAAGGCAATATTTGCTGAAGACAGAACTGATAGACAGAATTAATATTAGACAGAGTGTTTTTTTAAACAACAGATCTCTGTGGGATGGACATAGAATCAAATGATAGACATTTTACAAGAGAACTATGTCAAAGAAGACATGCATGTATTGTGTCAGATATTTTACAGCCAACAAATAAAAAGATGCACAAACACACATCATATCACACATTTCACAACAGAACTATGAGAAAGAAACACAGACACACATCATATCACACATTTCACAACAGAGCTATGAGAAAGACACATGTCATACCACAAAGCTGACACCAAACATATCCGAGAAAGAAACTATCATACCGGACATTTTACAACATGCTATCAGAAAGACACTTTAGAAGAGAATTATGGTACAAGACAACTTTTTTTTTTAAATAAGACTATTTTTAGAATATTTTTAAGAATTTCGTATTTATATGAGTGTGTTGTTTTAGAAAGGACAGTTAACAAAAAGTTGTTTTAAAAAGGACAGTTAAATTTTGTTTTATAATGCAAATGTCGTGATTTACAACATTTTGAGGAAATAGTAAAGATTTCTTTTCACTTTTCTGAAGTTTAGTGTCTGTGTTTATGTGTGTGAGGGTGCATGCATGTGGGGTTGTGCAGTGTGTGAGTGAGAGAGAGAGAGAGAGAGAGAGAGAAAGAGAAAGCGACCGACAGACAAAACATAGGGACAAAGAGAGGGACAAAGAAGAAGGAGGAAGAGTGGGAAAAGGGGGGGGGGGATGTTTGGACTATACAAATGACACACTGTAGGTGGAAATTTAGGGATAGACAACAGAAAATGGTGTCAGAATGGTTGCTGGTTGGAGGAGATAAAACACTCTTGGAACTGATGCAGATGGAAGAAGAAGTAAATTAACATACCATTAGAACTGACGCTAATGGAAGAAAGAAAGAGAGTTACAGAATCAAAACATAAATACAAAAGTACAACGTGTGGGATGAGGTGTGTAAGAAATGTGGCGAAAAAAACAAGACAAGAAAGAGTCACCAATGAAGAACTAACAAGAATGGTAGGCAAAGTACCAGCTAATGATTTCACAGAACATCACAGATTTCAAATGGTTTAGTCATCTTGTGAGAATGATAGAATTAGCCAATAGCTACAGCATACTACATAAGAACAGAAGGCTACAAGGCAAGAGGTCAGCCAAGAAAGAAATGGGAGGGAGTAATACAGATACCACAGAAATGCAATTTGACACTAACACAAGCTATGCAACCAGGAAAAGACAGGAAACTACATCTAGCTCCTCTCTGCAACCCTTGACAGCATAAGCTGTGGGATAAAAGAACAAGATCAGAATGGATGCTGATGAAAGAAGTTGAAGGAAAATAAGAAACTATCAGAATGTATGGGAGACATTTTAGGAAATTCAAGGAAAATGAAACAGTATCAGAATGTATGGGAGACATTTTAGGAAATTCAAGGAAAATGAAACAGTATCAGAATGTATGGGAGACATTTTAGGAAATTCAAGGAAAATGAAACAGTATCAAATGTAAACAGTAGGAAATCAGAATGAAACAGTATATGGGAGACACATTTTAGGGAAACAATCAGAATGTTCAAGGAAATTCAAGGAAAAATGAAACAGTATCAGAATGTATGGGAAACATTTTAGTATCATGAAACAGTATCAGAATGTATGGGAGACATTTTAGGAAATTCAAGGAAAATGAAACAGTATCAGAATGTATGGGAGACATTTTAGGAAATTCAAGGAAAATGAAACAGTATCAGAATGTATGGGAGACATTTTAGGAAATTCAAGGAAAATGAAACAGTATCAGAATGTATGGGAGACATTTTAGGAAATTCAAGGAAAATGAAACAGTATCAGAATGATTAAGAGATGAAGAAGGAAGAAAGATGTAACACACTGGGTAAGGACAGTTAAAGCCAGTTACTCTATGGCGACAGTGGGAGAAGAACACACACATGGCCAGGTGTAGCGCTGAAAACAACCTCACAAGACTGTCTTTCTCCAGGTCATGCGGGTGTGTTGGGAAAGGATCAGGCAGATATACTGGCCGGTTCTGCACTACTTGGTGGTGAACTGATGTATGACAAGCTGGATGTTGTGAAGGCTCTTTGGCAGCGAGTGAACAGTGCCGAGGCACAGATAGATCATTACGGTCTGAGGAAGAATGGAACTGATCAGGCCGACGCTCCACACTCAGGGGAAGGCGAGACAGATATACAACCAGACAGTTACAGGTACCATCAGAATTTTAACTCTTCACTTTCTGCTGAAGATAGGGACAGAGTGCATGTGGGGGGTGTCCCGAGTGTTGTGATGTTGATTCTTAACTCAACATTCAACAACAAGACTGTGTACCCAGACAACATCCAAGTTTTATTCACACCAATATTGATCCCAGGTGTCCCTGTCTGATACAAGCTTCAACCAACACAAAGTCACAAATATAATACTCTACATCAAACAACAAGTCTAGCTACGCTTAAAGCAATTGCAACAATCCTCATGTCACAAAACAAACGGCATGCAGACAACAGTTGCTGGACAACTTCTGTGGGTGGAATTTGTCAAGGGGTATGACGACAGATTTAGTGTGTGAGAACTGGAGATGGGAAAAGGGGACCTCAGCTCCTTAAAATATTCTGGGGAAAGGGTGCTCATGGGAACCTAAGCCTTATTTAAGTGTTTAATAATAACAATTTTATAATAATAATAATGTACTGCCTCCGCCCCTTAAAATGTTCTGGGGAAAGGGTGCTCATTGGACATAAGCCTTATTTAAGTGTTTAATAATAAAAAATTTATAATAATAATGTACTGAATGGGAAATAAAATTACAGTAAATCTGAAATAATTTAAAATGGATAAACTAACACTTAAAGATAGAGCTTTAATTCTAGAGATAAATCTACATTCTTTGGTCATTTCATGAGAAAAAGAACACTGGAGTACATCGTGATGGTGGGAAAGTTGGAGGTGGAAGAGGCTGAGAGAGAACGAGAGAGAAGATGCAGAAAAATCTGACATTATGCCATGAAATATCAGAATGACTGAAAGTACATGAGACAGGAGGTTGGTGATAGGACCCACTCGGCCCTCTTGCAAACTTTTGGGGACTGATGGAAGAAAATAGGAAAAGGGAAGGAAATAGAGTTCTGAGGTACATGTCATATGGTGGGGAACAGCTTAGGGTTTAGCCAATTTTATAGATTAGTATACTCATGGGATATGAGAGATTCTATAGAGGAGTATACTCACAGGATATGTGAGATTCTATAGATGAGTATACTCATGGGGTATGGCAGATTGTATAGATGAGTATATTTATGGGGTTATGGCATATTCTATTCATGAGTATACTTATGGGGTATGGGAAATTCTGTAGATGAGCGTACTCACTACTGCTGCTTTGCTGATCTTATTTTACGCCTTTAGGCACATCGGGCATATGGGAAGAGCACCCATATTTTTACAGACCAGTCGGCACTAGGTGGGTAATGTGGTCAGCATTAGCCGGCCGTCTTTACTTCCCCAGGACATACATCCTGGTACCCATTTAGGCTAGGTCGACCCACGACGTCCCGCACCATGATAAAAATCCACGCAGCCAGCAGTGGGTTTCGATCGCGGTACATTTAAATTACGAGTCGGACTCGCCTTAGCCACGCACCCCTAAGTGTACTCACGGGGTATGGGAAATTGTATAGCTGAATATACTCATGGGGTATGGGAAATTCTACAGATGAGTATACTCATGGGGAATGGGAGTGTCTATAGATTATGCCCATGGGGTATGGGAGATTGTATAGAATATACCCATGGGGTATGGGAGATTCTATAGATTATACCCATGGGGTGTGGGAGATTGTATAGCTGAATATACCCATGGGGTATGGGAGATTGTATAGATGAATATACCCATGGGGTATGGAAGATTGTATAGATGAATATACCCATGGGGTATGGGAGATTGTATAGATGAATATACCCATGGAGTATGGGAGATTGTATAGATGAATATACCCATGGGGTATGGGAGATTGTATAGATGAATATTCCCATGGGAATTGGGAGATTGTATAGATGAATATACCCATGGGGTATGGAAGATTGTATAGATGAATATACCCATGGGGTATGGAAGATTGTATAGATGAATATACCCATGGGGTATGGGAGATTGTATAGATGAATATACCCATGGGGTATGGGAGATTGTATAGATGAATATACCCATGGGGTATGGAAGATTGTATAGATGAATATACCCATGGGGTATGGGAGATTGTATAGATGAATATACCCATGGGGTATGGGAGATTGTACAGATGAATATACCCATGGGGTATGGGAGATTGTATAGATGAATATACCCATGGGGTATGGGAGATTGTATAGATGAATATACCCATGGGGTATGGGAGATTCTATAGATGAATATACCCATGGGGTATGGGAGATTCTATAGATGAATATACCCATGGGGTATGGGAGATTGTATAGATGAATATACCCATGGGGTATGGGAGATTCTATAGATGAATATACCCATGGGGTATGGGAGATTCTATAGATGAATATACCCATGGGGTATGGGAGATTGTATAGATGAATATACCCATGGGGTATGGGAGATTCTATAGATGAGTATTCAGCAGAAAAGTATGCTCATGGAATATGGCAGATTCTATGTAAGATATAAGTAGTCACATGTTACAAGTGTTCTATATGTGTAGTCAAATGTTACAAGCATTTTATATAGGTAGTCAAATGTTACAAGTGTTGTATATATGTAGTCACATGTTACAAGTGTTGTATATATGTAGTCACATGTTACAAGTGTTGTATATATGTAGTCACATGTTACAAGTGTTGAATATATGTAGTCACATGTGACAAGTATTGTATAAAGGTAGTCATATGTTACAAGTGTTGAATATATATAGTCACAGGTTACAGGTGTTGTGTGTGTGTGTGTGTGTGTGTGTGCATTTATGTATGTAGTCACATGTGTCAATTGTTGTACATGTGTAGATACATGTTACACAAATGATGAACATATGTAGTCACATGTTACAAGTGTTGTATAAATTTAGTCACATGTTATAAGTGGTGTGTGTGCGTGCATGTGCATGCATGTGTGTGCACGCGTGCATTAATGTGTGTAGTCACATGTGACAACTGTTGTACACGTGTAGTCACATGTTACACAAATGATGAACATACGTAGTTATGTGTTACAAGTGTGATACACCTGTCGTCACCTGTGAGCCGTCAACACTCACAGCTATGGGCACACATCTAGAGGTCTGAGGCCGATGCCAGGACACAAGTTGCTAGTCCCCACAAGGCACCAACATCACTGCAGCGGGGAGAACGGAGTGGGGATCAAGATGCTGGAGTGCATGTGTCGAGTCAGGGCAACTGAAAGGTGGAATAAGTTGAGTAAATGTCAAATATATTCATTATATATAACATAAAACACTATTTATTACAGTACATTTTTTTTTACCAACATTGTGTAATCAGCTCCAAGAGTGGACATAAAAATAACAACAACAAAACAGAGCAGAAATGTCTACAGCACATCCTAAAGGATCAGAAATGACGATATCAGGAAGGAAACTATGACAGAACCAGTACTATACTACATCACGAGACAACAGATCAAATGGTTTGGTCATGTATCAAGACTATCACCATACAGTGCACCACAGACAGCCCTATCCACGGCCAGCTCCATCAGTAAGGCCAAACAGGTTTATGGAAATTCCCATTTTGTTAGGCCGGTCTGTGCTCACCAATGTTATTGAGTAACAGAACGAGAATTTCCGTAGACCTGTTGGGCCTGACTACTGGAGCTGGCTGTGCCAATGGAAGCCAAGCCAGAGTTGGACCTTGTTAGCAATCAAGAGACGGAATATCCAGCATCCATGTAGCACATGCCAAGGCTCGCACCTGATGCCTCTTTAAATCCTGACACTGAAAGGTAGAATAGAACTAGAGAAGAAGCAGAAGGAGGAGGAAGAGGAAGAGAAGAAGAAAAAGAAGATTAGGCACTATCAACATCTGTCTCAATACTGTCTTTATTGGCTCAGATGTGTAGGACATTCTTGGAGTATGGATGATGGCAGAGTCCCTAAAAACATCTTCTTGTTTTATCTTCAGCATTCCGAGCACTTGAGGTTCATTGCTGCAGATATCACCCACCTTAACATCTCTCTGGTTGGCTTTCTCCCTCCCGTTGGTGACACTAAGTGTTTGCTGGTCTGCGTGGACGTTATTCTCTCCATCACGTTCTTGGTTTGCCAGTCAGCTCCCTTGTGTATAGTTTTTACCTTTCTCATCATCATATCATCCAATATTCTCTCAATAAATGTCCCAGCCATTTCAGTCTATTAGCTCTCACTATGCCAGTGATCAATGGTGATTTAAACAGATTATGAATTTTGGTGTTGCTTCTAAATCTCCATTTCCCACCGTTTGTATCTTTGATGGGTCTAAAGATTCGTCGCAAGGCTCTGTTTTCATAAATGTGTAATAAGGCTTCATCTCTTGTAGTTGTGCTCCAAGTTTCATACCCATATAAAATACCCATATAAAATACCCATATAAAATGACTTGTTTTATCAACATTTTATATATTTTGATCTTGGTGCTGCAAGATAGAGACTTTGACTTTAGCAGATGTTGAAGGGCATAGTATACTTTTTTCCCCAGAGTTTTTCCTAGATTGTATTTCTTAGCATTTTGGAACAGTTGAAGTTTGCACCCAAGTACTTATATGTTTCCATTTGTTTGATTTTTATATTATCCACTTGTATGTGGCCGGAGTTTATATCCTTTCCCTGTCATGTTATTGTCATGTATTATGTTTATCTTGACAAATAAATAGTTCCATTTTGTGAGCAAGCTATTCTTTTAAAGATAGACTGTGTTTTTACAGTCTCTAGTTTATTTTCTCTAACGATATCAATGTCATCATGCATAACCAAGTATTCTTGTAGTTTCTCCTATAGTACACTCTTGTTTCAATTTCCTTATAATTTTCTCCAGGGCCAAGTTGACAGGAAATGGGGACAGAGCATCAGCTTGCTTTAAACCAGAGGGTCTGACCTTCTGGATTTATTTATGACTATATTATAAGTGTCTTCCATACATAGTTTGGTCATGGTAATTAACATCTTTGGTATTTCAAAGCCCTTCATAGTATTCCATAAACTGTTTCTATGTACACTATCATATGCTTTTTAAAACACACACGCACGCATGCACGCACACATGCACACACACACACATGCACGCACACATACGCACAAAACATTATTACATCTCTTCTACATTCCCAGTTTTGCTCTGCTATTTGCCATAAAATGATATCTGAGCTATTGTTGATCTGTTCTGTTGGAAACGTGCTTGGTAATCACCCAATATATCTTTGAAGTGTGGTTTTAGTCTGTTTAACAGTACCGCTTATAGTATCTTTTAGCTTGTAGATAATAGTGATATTCCTCTATGATTTTCACAATTATGCGTGTCTCCTTTCTTTAAAAAAAGGATTAATAATGACACTTTCCAGTCACGGACCTAAGGAAATCTATTGTGAACTACAGATGGGTAGTAGGATGGATGCTGGCAGAGTGCCTAAGGACATCTATAGTGAACTACAGCTGGGTAATAGGATGGATGCTGGTAGAGTCCCTAAGGACATCTATAGTGAACTACAGCTGGGTAATAGGATGGATGCTGGCAGAGTCCCTAAGGACATCAATAGTGAACTACAGCTGGGTAATAGGATGGATGCTGGCAGAGTCCCTAAGGACATCTATGGTGAACTACAGATGGGTAGTAGGATAGATGATGACAGAGTCCCTAAAGACATCTATGGTGAACTACAGATGGGTAGGAGGATAGATGATGGCAGAGTCCCTAAGGACATCTATGGTGAACTAAAGATGGGTAGTGGGATGGATGATGGCAGAGTCCCTACAGACATCTATAGTGAACTACAGATGGGTAGTGGGATGGATGATGGCAGAGTTCCTAGGACATCTATAGTGGACTACAGATGGGTACTGGGATGGATGATGACAAAGTCCATAAGGACATCTATGGTGAACTACAGATGGGTAGTGGAATGGATGATGGCAGAGTCCATAAGGACATCTATGGTGAACTACAGATGGGTAGTGGGATGGTTGCTGGAAGAGTCCATAAGGACATCTATGGTGAACTACAGATGGGTAGTGGGATGGTTGCTGGAAGAGTCCCTAAGGACATCTATGGTGAACTACAGATGGGTAGTGGGATGAATGATGGCAGAGTCCCTAAGGACATCTATGGTGAAATACAGATGGGTAGGAAACGTCAGGATAGCCTATCTAGGTTGGCCAGGCTCAAAGTTGGGAACCTGCTTCTAAGACGACTGTGGAAAAGTAGATGGGTCTTGATCAGCATTAGATCTGGTCAGTACACCCCCAGGTGTGATTTTGTACTTCTGCATCCCACATAAAAATACAGCTACAGAATACCTGTATCAGATATAAGACTAAATCTGAGGTACAGTGACCTATATCTGATATAAGACTAAAGCTAAGGTACAGTGAACTATATCTGATATAAGACTAAAGCTGAGGTACAGTGACCTATATCTGATATAAGACTAAAGCTGAGGTACAGTGACCTCTATCTGATATAAGACTAAAGCTAAGGTACAGTGAACTATATCTGATATAAGACTAAAGCTGAGGTACAGTGACCTATATCTGATATAAGACTAAAGCTAAGGTACAGTGACCTATATTTGATATAAGACTAAAGCTAAGGTACAGTGACCTATATCTGATATAAGACTAAAGCTGAGGTACAGTGACCTATATCTGATATAAGACTAAAGCTGAGGTACAGTGACCTATATCTGATACAAGACTAAAGCTGAGGTACAGTGACCTATATCTGATATAAGACTAAAGCTAAGGTACAGTGACCTATATCTGATATAAGACTAAAGCTAAGGTACAGTGACCTATATCTGATATAAGACTAAAGCTAAGGTACAGTGACCTATATCTGATATAAGACTAAAGCTAAGGTACAGTGACCTATATCTGATATAAGACTAAAGCTGAGGTACAGTGAACTATATCTGATATAAGACTAAAGCTGAGGTACAGTGACCTATATCTGATATAAGACTAAAGCTGAGGTACAGTGACCTATATCTGATATAAGACTAAAGCTAAGGTACAGTGAACTATATCTGATATAAGACTAAAGCTGAGGTACAGTGACCTATATCTGATATAAGACTAAAGCTAAGGTACAGTTACATATATCTGATATAAGACTAAAGCTAAGGTACAGTGAACTATATCTGATATAAGACTAAAGCTGAGGTACAGTGACCTATATCTGATATAAGACTAAAGCTAAGGTACAGTGACCTATATCTGATATAAGACTAAAGCTAAGGTACAGTTACATATATCTGATATAAGACTAAAGCTAAGGTACAGTGAACTATATCTGATATAAGACTAAAGCTAAGGTACAGTGACCTATATCTGATAAGACTAAAGCTAAGGTACAGTGACCTATATCTGATATAAGACTAAAGCTAAGGTACAGTGACCTATATCTGATATAAGACTAAAGCTGAGGTACAGTGAACTATATCTGATATAAGACTAAAGCTGAGGTACAGTGACCTATATCTGATATAAGACTAAAGCTGAGGTACAGTGACCTATATCTGATATAAGACTAAAGCTAAGGTACAGTGAACTATATCTGATATAAGACTAAAGCTGAGGTACAGTGACCTATATCTGATATAAGACTAAAGCTAAGGTACAGTTACATATATCTGATATAAGACTAAAGCTAAGGTACAGTGAACTATATCTGATATAAGACTAAAGCTAAGGTACAGTGACCTATATCTGATATAAGACTAAAGCTAAGGTACAGTGACCTATATCTGATATAAGACTAAAGCTAAGGTACAGTGACCTATATCTGATATAAGACTAAAGCTAAGGTACAGTGAACTATATCTGATATAAGACTAAAGCTAAGGTACAGTGACCTATATCTGATATAAGACTAAAGCTAAGGTACAGTGACCTATATCTGATATAAGACTAAAGCTAAGGTACAGTGACCTATATCTGATATAAGACTAAAGCTAAGGTACAGTGACCTATATCTGATATAAGACTAAAGCTAAGGTATAGTGAACTATATCTGATATAAGACTAAAGCTAAGGTACAGTGACCTATATCTGATAAAAGACTAAAGCTAAGGTACAGTGACCTATATCTGATATAAGACTAAAGCTGAGGTACAGTGACCTATATCTGATATAAGACTAAAGCTGAGGTACAGTGAACTATATCTGATATAAGACTAAAGCTAAGGTACAGTGACCTATATCTGATATAAGACTAAAGCTAAGGTACAGTGACCTATATCTGATATAAGACTAAAGCTGAGGTACAGTGACCTATATCTGATATAAGACTAAAGCTAAGGTACAGTGACCTATATCTGATATAAGACTTAAGCTAAGATATAGTTATCTGTATCTGATATAAGACTAAAGCTTAGGTATAGTCACCTGAATAAGATATAAGACTAAAGCTAAGGTACAGTTACCTGTACTGGATACAAGACCAAAGCTAATGTATAGTTACCTGTATTGGACACACACTCATCCCAGCCAGGGCGACTCCAGGCAGCTTCCCTGGTCTCCTTCCTTGTTTGCAGATCTTTATAACCTGAGGAAACAATTCTTTAAGTGAATCATCATATCACTAAAAACACATAAAGTGGATCATCATATCACTACAAACACATAAAGTGAATCATCATATCACTACAAACACATAAAGTGGATCATCATATCACTACAAACACATAAAGTGGATCATCATATCACTACAAACACATAAAGTGAATCATCATATCACTACAAACACATAAAGTGGATCACATAACTAAAAACATTGAAACTGTCTTTATATAACTATAAATACTAGGGCTGTACCGAATATTTGCTTCATATTCGCTTCGGGGCCGAATAGTGGACCTAATAACTATTTGGTATTCGGTCGAACATTTGCGGTGTGGCCGAATACGAATAGTGGTTACCTTACACCCGTTTCTGGACTGGTGGAAAATAAACATATCAAAATTTCACACCTTGGTTCATACTGTCAAGCGTTATCTTTGTGCACCACCTACGAGCGTACCAAGTGAATGTCTGTTTAGTACGGCTGGAAATACCTTCAGTGAGACAAAAAGCTGCCTTAATGTTGAAAACATGGAACGATTGTGGTTTTTTTTTTTTTTTGAAAGCTTATGCCTCTTTCATGGATTAACAACTAAGCTGTCAGTGACAATTTATAAGTTTAGTTACTTGTTATAAAACTAAGACTACTTTCATACCTATGTATTAGTTACCACAGACTGAGTGACTGAAGGATGCAAAACATGAAATGTTTTTAAATGTTTACTATTCTGTACTACGTTTTGTGAAGTAAAATTTCAGTGTACATTTGACATTACGGATGTTTTCTTTTTAGATCTATTTTATACGCATAAGTGGAAGAATGGGCCTCAGTTTGAATAGTGGGAAGACAGAAGGATCAAAGAAAATAATTATTCCTAAATGTGTATGGTATGTATAAAAGTCAATGGTTTTATTTTGGGACAAATACAGAAATTTAAGTATCTGGGCACATGGATAACATCAGATGGAAAGAGAAAGAATTTTTGCTTGCTACATATGGCTGGACAATCGGTAGGCAGGCCAAACAATTTCTCGAGGCCTCAGAGATGTGGTTTTACAGAACAATGCTTAAAATACCTTGGACAGCCAAAACAAAAGCAACCAAGAGGTTTCGATAGAAGCCGGAGCCCGAAGACAACTACTCACAGACATCAGAAGAAGACAGTCATTATTTTTCGGCCATGTTATAAGATGAGAGAAAACGGAACATGTTGTGACCACTGGAAAGATCTGAGAAAGGAGGGATAGAGGAAGACAACAAGAGAAGATTCTTGACAGTCTTGTTGCATGGTATGGAGGTGTGTCAGCACACGAACTAATTCATGCTGCAGGAGATCGCAGATTGTAAAGAGGCACAATCGCCCATGCCAGTCGGCAAAGCACCTGATGATGATGATTCACTATTCGTATTCGGCCGAATAGTTGGTCAAACTATTCGTATTCAGTCGAATAGTGAAAATCACTATTCGATACAGCCCTAATAAATACATAAGGTGAATGATCTTACAACTACAAACACATAAAGTGGATCATAAAACTATAAACATTGAAACTGTCTTTATATAACTATAAATACATAAGGTGAATGATCTTACAACTACAAACACATAAAGTGGATCATATAACTATAAACATTGAAACTGTCTTTATATAACTATAAATACATAAGGTGAATGATCTTACAACTACAAACACATAAAGTGGATCATATAACTATACAAACTACAACTATAAACATTCCAACTTTTTTTAAATATAACTATAAATATATAAAGTGAATGATTGTATAACTACAAACACACAAAGTGGATTATATAACTATAGAAATAACAACTATAAACATTCAAACTATCTTTATACATCTATAAATATATAAAGTGAATGGTCTTGTAACTTCAAACATAGGTGGATCATATAACTATAAACATACAAACTATAACTATAAACATTTAAACTTTCTTGATATAACTATAAATATATAAAGTGAATGATCTTATTACTACAAACATATAAAGTGGATCATATAACTATAAATTTACAAACTATAAATATAAACATTTAAACTTTCTGTAAGTAACTTTAATATATATAGTAAACAGTAAAAAGTAAAGATCCCTTTTAACACCTTTAGGAACATCGGGTACATGAGAAGAGCACCCATATTTTTACAGACCAATCGGCACTAGGTGTGTAAGGTGGCCAGCATTGCGCCGGCCGTCTTTACTTCCCCAGGACAAACATCCTGGTACCCATTTTAGGCTGGGTTGACCTGCAACGCTCCATACCATGATAAAAATCCAATAATATATAGTGAATGATATTATAACTACAGACATATAAAGTGGATCATATAACTATAAACATACAAATTATAACATTTAAACTTGTTTATATAACTATAAATATACAAAGTGGATGGCATAACTATAAACATACAAACTATAACTAAAAACATTTAAACTTTCTTTATATATATAAAGTGAATGATCTTATAACTACAAACATATAAAGTAAAAGATCATATAATTACAAACATACGAAGTGAATGATTGCATAACTTCTTCTTTTTCTTCTTCTCTTCCACCTTGTCCCTCAGCGAAGTGTCGGAGGAGATGTAACATTGATGAGCTTTGTTAAGGGCACTATTAAGACGGATGTTTATTTCTGTAAGGCTGTTCTTAATGCCATCACTCCATATTTTCTGAGGTCTTCCACTTGCTCTATACATGTAACGTTTTAGTGTGGCTTTCTGTGGCAGATAGTACCAGGGCATTCTTGTTAAGTGTCCAAACCACTTCATTTGTTTTTCTTTGATGACCTGTAAGACTGGCTTTTTTCCTAGCATTCGTCTGATTTAGTGATTTCATATTCTGTCTTTCCTTGAAACTCCTGCAGCTCTTCTAAGGCATTTCATCGCTGTTGTCAAAATTGTAAGTTCATTAGAGGATGTAAGTGTCCACTTTTGGCACTGATAGCATAGTGTTGGCCAACAAATAGTTCTGATAAGATTCACTTTAGTAATCCGAGGTATCTGCTTGTGTGTCAACAGAGGAGATAGTTGCCCTATTACTTGATTAGCTTTGGCACATCATGAGCTAATTTCTCTGTCCAGTTTTCCGTCGGATGTGAAAATTGCTCCCAAATACATATATAGCGGACAGCCATATATCTAACTACAACCATAAAGTGAATCATACAACTGCAAACATATAAACTGAAACATATAACTACTCAAAGATACAAAGGAATCATATAACTACAAATATAAAGTGAATCATACAACTGCAAATATATAAACTGAAACAAATAATTACTCACGGATACAGAGGAATCATATAACTACAAACATAAAAAGGAATATTATAACTAGAAACATATAAAGGAATCATATCACTACACACATAAAGCGTGCACCATATATACAGCTCATCATCATCATGTGCCAGACTCACAAATCCTACTTCCACTGCACACTTACCCCACATGTGCCAGACTCATAAATCCTACTTCCACTGCACACTTACCCCACATGTGCCAGACTCATAAATCCTACTTCCACTGCACACTTACCCCACATGTGCCAGACTCATAAATCCTACTTCCACTGCACACTTACCCCACATGTGCCAGACTCAAAAATCCTACTTCCACTGCACACTTACCCCACATGTGCCAGACTCATAAATCCTACTTCCACTGCACACTTACCCCACATGTGCCAGACTCATAAATCCTACTTCCACTGCACACTTACCCCACATGTGCCAGACTCATAAATCCTACTTCCACTGCACACTTACCCCACATGTGCCAGACTCATAAATCCTACTTCCACTGCACACTTACCCCACATGTGCCAGACTCATAAATCCTACTTCCACTGCACACTTACCCCACATGTGCCAGACTCATAAATCCTACTTCCACTGCACACTTACCCCACATGTGCCAGACTCATAAATCCTACTTCCACTGCACACTTACCCCACATGTGCCAAACTCATAAATCCTACTTCCACTGCACACTTACCCCATATGTGCCAAACTCATAAATCCTACTTCCACTGCACACTTACCCCATATGTGCCAGACTCATAAATCCTACTTCCACTGCACACTTACCCCACATGTGCCAGACTCATAAATCCTACTTCCACTGCACACTTACCCCACATGTGCCAGACTCATAAATCCTACTTCCACTGCACACTTACCCCACATGTGCCAGACTCATAAATCCTACTTCCACTGCACACTTACCCCATATGTGCCAGACTCATAAATCCTACTTCCACTGCACACTTACCCCACATGTGCCAGACTCATAAATCCTACTTCCACTGCACACTTACCCCACATGTGCTCAACACAATACAAATGCCCAATTTGTGTGAAGAAGCCAGCAACTGGTTCGTTGTTGGTCTGCCTGAACTTGATAGCCTTTGCCCTGGGAAATATAAGAGATGTTTTAACCTTTCGGCCCAGAGTGCGCAAATACCGACACTTCAGGTTGGATCCAGTACCGTGTCAATGTCACTTTTCTGACTTGTCTATCGTGACCTCTTTATCCTATTCTTCTTCTTCTTCAAACATTCTGTCAGAAAACATATCCAGAAGCCGGCAGCCTTTATGAAAGCTATCGTGCGGTCCAAATCTTCTTGTGTACCATACAGCGTTGTCTTCATTGTAGTTGGAACAGGCCAGATTGTGTCTCTGTTGTCAGCATACAGTTGACAGTGCCAAGTTAACCTGTTTATGAGATGTATAGTTTATGCAACTGGCTGAGTTAATACATGCAGAAAAGTTTAGGAGGTCAGTATATAAATAAGTTAACTAAAAATAGCAATTGAAGGGGTTTTCCTTTGTGTTAGAGGGCTTTTTTAAAGCCAGGATGTTATATTTTCCCATAAGCCTCAATGGTACAGGTCACGGGGTCACGACAGGAGTTTTGTGATACATGTGTTTTGAACCAACAGGGAATGTGTTCAATTGAAACGCTTCAACCCGTTCATGTTTACTAATTACTCCTTTTATTTATCTGTAGTATTTTTTTAGAGTTCTCAGGGTGAAAGGGTCAAACACAGAGACCTAGTCAGTTCAGTTTGTTGTCTCCCTTTAATTAAACATAGGCAACATCTCGGCAACTGTTTATTCTGTGATACGTTACCTCAGCAACAGTTATATCATGTGTACAAATAGAGAGTTGACTGACTCACCAACAGACATCATGTGTACTGGAATAATTATATTATGTGTACAAGCAGAAGTATGTTTTTCAAACAGAAGAGAGCTAACTCACCAACAGCAATATCATGTGTACTAACATAAAGTTGACTGACTCACCAACAGACATCATGTGTACTAATAGAAAAGTTGTTTTACATGTACATATAGAAGTATGTGTACAAACAGAAGAAAGTTGACTCACCAATAGCTATACCATGTGTACAAACAGAAAGTTGACTGGACTCACCAACAGATGTCATATGTATTATTAGTATAGTAAAGATTATATGTACATAAAAAAGTATGCATACAAACAGAAGAAAGTTGACTGACTCACCAAACAGACATCATGTTTACTAACAGAATAGTTAAATTATGTGTACGAACAGAAGTATATGTACAAGCAGAAGAAAGCTGACTCGCCAACAGCTATACCATGTGTAGAAACAGAAAGATTACTCACCTACCAATAGTTACATCATGCGTACTAACAAAATAGCTATATTATTTGTACAAAGAGAAGTATGTGCAAAAACAGAAAGTTTACTCCCCAACAGTTATATCATTTGTACAAACAGAAAACATCAACTTACCAACAGTTCTTCCACTAATAATAAAATGAAAAACAAATCAACTTACTAACAATCTCACTTTTCATAAATTAACAAACAAAGAAAAAAAATCAACTTACCAACAATTTCCCCACTCGTACAAGGTCCCCGGCTGAAACAAAGAAACAAGTAATTACTCACAGTCAATGTGGGACCTATCACATGATTTAGACACAGATTCATGACGCGCTTGTTTGAAATAGTGCAACAACTGATAGCACCCATGGACATGCTGCTTGAAAACAGAGAGCCTTGTGTGCAAGGTCACTACATCCAGGATGAGAATGAAGGTGGAGACAGTAACAGCAGCTCTGCGACGGCTTGAGAGCTGCACAGCCCGGCATGTTTTAATTGTAACAGACTCACAAAGCATGCTTCGGAAAATCGAACCTGATGTCCTGCATTCCGAGCTGTCATGACAAATCAGATCAATACTGTAGACGGAATTCAGTCCAGCAGCTTTGGCATCTCTCAATAATATTCATCTCTGGGTAGGTTTTTTTTTTTTTTTTTTTGGGTGGGGGGGAGTCAAGGGCATCCTCTCCTTCTTAAACCCTTTTCCTATTTCAATGCCTGTTTGTTGATTCTCTGCTAATTTCTTCTCAGGACATATTCAATGTAGCGCCATCTTCTCTGTCTTATAACTGTTGTTACCAGTGGTTGCCCAGACATTTATCTTATTTCTTCACTCCTTTTGAATTCATCCCAATTTATTTTCATAATTTTCCTCAGAAATTTGTTTTCAAGTGCATTAAATTTTGGTTCCAAGTTTTTTTGTGACAGCAATATGAATTATGTGAAGTAGTGTCACAAACTACAGTAACATACATAATGTGAAATAGTGTCACAGATGATAGTAATATACATAATGTGAAATAACATAACAATAGACAGTAAAACAGAATGTGAGAGTGCCATGACTGACAGAAATATTAATTAAATTACTATAACACAACTGACAAAAACATGAATTAAATGACTTGATAACTCATGACAGAAACTGACACAAACATTAATTAAATGACTTGATAACGCAACTGACAGAAACATTAATTAAATGACTTGATAACGCAAGAAAATCCAGAAATCATGAGTTGTTAACCTTTAGGCTCTGTACTATGGAAATCGTAACCCTTCGGCCTTGATTTCATGATAGATAATGTCAATCTGGAAAATATGTGGCTTTTCTGCCTACCCCCTGAGCATGAATTCGTACCACAAGGATTTTGTTACCCGGTCACCGTGCAGCTGGTTTAACAAACTTAGTTAGCGCGCTGGGCAAATAATTTTATAAAACATTACACAAATTAAAGCAACAGTTTGGCAAAAAAACAATAACATGAACAATAAAAGAAACAGTGAAAGTTGGATGAAAGTGACTTGCGCAAAGACTTGGAATTAAATGAGGAGGCGTTGCGCAATTCGTCGACCTCACTCTCTCACTTGTGTCCATCTTGATCCAATGGCAGGACAATGTCAAGATGATTGGAAATGGCCCCAGGTGCAGTGGATGACCAAGGCGTCTTAAGTGCCCTGCCTTGATCAAAGCTCTCCACAGAGCCTGCTCGTAAACGCCTTCTTGTCCGTGAACCAATAAGAGGTTTCATCCGCACAATCCGCCGAGTCCAGTCTTTGCATGCAGGGAAAGCATATCTCAATCACTGAGTGGTTTTGAACCAGGTCGGCTACCCTCTCCTACTTTAGCCAGCCCGACAAAGCTGTTGTCTGGAAGGAAAGGGAGGGGGGGTGGCCGCTGTCGCATGCTGACAGCTGCTGGGAGCCATAGGAGAGAGCTGACTGCCAGACCTAGCCCAATGGTGGCGAACTGTCCTAAGAAGGACATGATGGTCATTAGAAACAGACACACACACACACACACACAAACAAGATGAACATATATAAACAAGCACTCACCCGAAGTGTGTAACTTCGTAGTTCGTAAATGTTGCTCCCTGATCTTGGCTGAATTTGTGGCCAGAAATTAAAGGACATCAAAATCTGATTTCTCCTCGATCGTAACATGGGATTTGTCTGCTTGCGAAACTCCACAAAATCCTGCAAGATTAGTTTTGATGATGATCAATAAACAAAATATCCCAACATTCACAACTGGAACATTTGTTTACAATCTTTTCCTTCTTCTACAGTCCCCTTTAAAAGGGCAGTTGGCAAGATTAGTTTTGTTGACAATCAATAAACATAACACAACATTCACAAAGAATCTTCACAACGGGTACATCTGTTTACAATCTTTTCCTTCTTCAACAGTCACCTTTAGGAGGGCGGCTAGCAGGTTTACAGCAGGTTTGGATATCTGTATCTTTCAGCCGAACTCATACGATTTCAGCAAACTATTATTTTATTAGTTACTTTTTACGAAATGCTGGTAATAAGGGCTCACTTATGGACCTCCAGGCCAATATAGGGGAACGAACGAATGAACTTTATTTTCAAAGGGTCACAAATTGGACAGCATGGACAGGCATGGAAGAATGTTTAGCTTCAAAATTATGTTTTGCTTCTGACAGTGCTTTGCTAATGCAGTTTCCATTCATGGGCGAGAGCCTATGATTTCATGGCCTAATCTGAGTTAAGTGCTTGATGCAGAACTGTGAGCTATGTTTTTTCAAGTGGAATACCTTTCATCTGCGCAGCGACTGTATTGTGGTATTCTTCTTTTTCTTCAGGGTGACAGATGAAAACTATCAATACAACTTACTGGATCGTTCTTGTACAGAGAGTTAGCCTGAGTCAATGCTGGGTATCCCCCAGCATGTTGAGTTGTAATTTATGCTAGGATGATATATCAGTGCTTTTCAGCCAACACATCCAATCTTAACAAATCCTTAACTCTTTGAGTCCCAAGGAACACATCACACGCTCATGTTCCTACTTAGAGGCCCAATGAATGCAAGATGCGCCGATTTTACGTCTCTCTTGACTACCCCTTGGGCCTCTGATGCTAAACCCCCTGGGACTCAAAGAGTTAAAGCTTTCAGTGCCAGATGATTTTGAAGGAAATGCTAAAAAAAAAAAAAAGGCATGCAATCATTATTTTTATCAAGGCTAAACATACAACAGAAGCAGTCAATGTGACAGTCAGATTTCTTTAGAATGCAATGACCAAAACTGAAAACTTAGAGAACACATTATGCAACAGCTGGGATACAAATGGAAGTTCATTGGCCCAAAATGCTTTTCCTGGGATTGAAAGAGTTAATTAACCACCTTTAGCAACATGATCATTAAGCAAACAAGGGTTTATTGTTTTTTTTTCGCCTCCCAAAAAACGGAGACCTGGAACCCACAAGGAGAACTCTGCCTACAACTTGTGACAGATTAAAACTATCAATACAACTTACTGGATCGTTCTTGTACAGAGAGTTAGCCTGAGTCAGTGCTGGGTATCCCCCCAGCGTATTGCCAGATATGAACTGAGGAGAAAACAATGTAAAAATAATACACTAGATAAACACGCTAATGCACATATCCATTCTAAAACATGAATACAGCAGTTTCCTATAAGCAGTGATTTAATAATAATATTTTATCATAACTGACATCATTCCTTACAAAATGAAGAATATTTCATGCAATCTTTCTTTGTCAATTGAGACAAGAAAAATTATTCTTAAAAGCTATATAAATCCTTTACTGATATTTGGAGGGAATCGTGGACAATTAGTAAATTAGTGAAAACTTATTTGGAAGCTGCGGAGATGTGGTTTCTTAGATGAATGATGAGAATACCCTGGACAGATTAAAAAGAGTAAAGAAGACGTATTAAAAGAAACTGACTCACGAAGGGAACTGATTGCCCACATCAGAAAGAGACAATCTACATTCTTTGGTCATGTGATGAGAAGGAGAAAACTGGAGTAGATTATGACGGTAGGAAAGTTGGAGTGGAGAGCGGCACTGAGAGAACAGATGCTGGACAGTCTGACATCATGGCATGGAAGATCATCTGTGTCAGAGTTGATTGAAAGTACACGAGACAGAAGGTTGTAGACAGACATGACTACCAATGCCACTTTAGGAAGACATCACTTCCCACCATCACCAAGTGCCTTTGCCGACTGGCGAGCGCGATCATGATTCTCCACAATTTGCGATCAGCAACCGTGTGTATCAGTTTGTGTGCTGACACCCTTCCATGCCATAACAAAAAGCTGGCAAGCCTCTTCTCATGCTGTCTTCCTCTGTCTCGCTTTCCAGAGATCTTTCCAGTTGTCACAACATGTTCTAGCTTCCCTCTTCTCATAACATTACCAAAAAATGATGACTGTCTCATTCTGATGTTTGTGACTAGTTGTCTTCAAGCCCTCGCCTCTTTCGAAACAGCTGGGTAGCTCTTCTTCTTAGCTGTCCAAGGAATTCTAATGATTCTTCTGTAAAACCACATTTCTGAGGCCTCAAGATATTGTTCAGCTTGTTTATTAATTGTTCAGGATGCACAGCCATATGCTAAAATTGGCTCTATATAGCATGCAAGATTTCTTTTTTCTAACCTCCAATGACATGCAGTCTTTTTCTTCACTCCTTCTGTCAGAAAACCTATATTAAGAGGACGGTAGCCTTTATGAAAGCTATCGTGCAGTCCATATCCTCTCTTGTACCATACAGCTTTGTCTTCATTGTGGTTGGAACAGGCCAGATTGCGTCTCTGTTGTCAGCATACAGTTGACAGTGTTGGAGCACATGCTTAGCATTTTCAGGTGCGACCCACTGCAGTGACACAAATCTGTGTTTCCTACACATATAATTGTGAACATATGTTGACTAAGTCTGTTGTGCCCTGTCTTTAATCTGAATTTAATACACTGTCCCTCTCTAGAGAGGTGATGAAGTGAGTCTTGGGGAGATAATTTTGTATGTGTATCCAGCCACTGTTCTTGGATACCATATTGTATTAATATCTTAGTCTCTTGGTGGGTTAAGTCGCTATTTGGTTGTACCATGTCACTGCTGCTTCTGGCCAATCTGTCAGCTATTTTATTGCCTTCCAAGCCACAGTGACCTGGAATCCACTGCAGTACAGATTTTTCTACTGAAGAGCCTAAGTGAATCAGCTGTTGCGTCAAGTCTACAAACTGTGTGTCTTTTGGGTTGACAGTTGCTTGTAGAACTGACATAGCATCAGTCAGAAAGACTGGAAAACAATGCTCCAAGTAGCTATCCCATATTCTAGTGTTGGCCTCACATAGCCTGTATAGATCCTCTTGAGGACACTGCAGTTTGCCCCCAGTCTGTTCCAGCAAATTTCCTCATCAGTTGCATTCTCTTGAGTCCCTTGCTCTGACTCTTTTCTATCTATTTTCTCCATGTGAGTCCTGGGTCAAATGTTACTCCAAAATACAAGGTTGAGTCATCATGTTTCAGTGCCTGAACGACATACATAAGTAAAGCTTTCTGGGGTTTGGTGGAAAGACTGAAAATGTGAGGGTGGGGGTGTGAGTGTGTGTGTGGGGAGTCCCATTTACAGGCATGTACCAACTAACAGACCACTTCTCTAGAGTTCTGAGAGATTTTATAAACCTTGTCTGTTCTTCATTTGATAAAAGGTAGTTTTGTCCTGTCCTATTCTGTTCTTTATCTCTGTGATACATCTTCCATTGGATGTTATCCATGTGCCTAGATACTTAAACGTCTGTATTTGTCCTTTTGACTTTTATTACACATTTAGAAAACGTTTTTTTTTCTCGGAAATCCCCATACTTCTGTATTCCCTTTATCCAAACTGAGGCCCATTTTATCCCTTTCTACAACCACTGAATCTATCAATGCCTGTAGTTCTTTTCTGACTTGTCTCTATCAAGACAGTGTCATCAGCATAATGGAGGTTGTTTATGTTATGACCACCAACCGCAATTCCTGGCATTTCCATGATAGATCTTATTATGTATTCACTGCATAACAAAAACAAATCAGGTGATAGTACACATCCTTGTCATACTCCTCTCTTTATGCTCTGAAATGTTCCCAAATTATTATTAATTCTTGTAGCTACAGTTTGCTGCCAATACACTTATCCAACCGTAAGCTTGCCACTTGGTCGTCCAGGTATGCAGACTGCTTTAATTATGCTACCGCAGCGACTACGTAAATACAGTATCTCACAGTAAGGTTTGCAAAGTCACCAATTTCGTCTTGTCCCTGTCCGAGAACATCCGGTAATACGTGTAGCAGGAGGAAGTCAACCCTGAGCCTCATGAACTCAGGTGGGCCCACTCTCTGAAAATGTCTAGGAGCTCGTGGGCCGAAATATTTGTCGACGAGAGGTTACTTCTACTGATGATTGGTAGACTCCTGCTGTACATGCTCCCCTGTGGAGTTTTTTATTTTTGCTGCCAATACACATTCTTTACAATTGTAAATCTTTTCCATCAATATTAAACTTTTCCAAGTTTTATTATTCTTCATGTTTCACACAATCAAATGCTTTCGTATAGTAAATGAAGCATAAGTAAAGATTTTTTTTGTTTTTGTTTACTTCTATAGCTTTCTGACTTTCTGACATCACTATTCATTGGGTATTCCATGATACTCTAACAATGCCAGAAGATATGCATGCCATCTCTAAGGTTGTCATCACACTAGGGAGGTATTACAGGGGTCAGATTCCTGCGGCCGTAGACACAGAGATAAGGGCACTGATAGATCAGCATTCACACCCAGAAGACATCATCATCTACAGAGATGGGTCCGTAAAGCACGTATCAAGGTCAGCATGGGCATAAACAGCTCAAACGATTAGGGAAAACAATCAAAGAGGACAGCGGCATTTACTAGGCAACCATGTCAAGCACGAACATAGAGATAGCCGCTGCTTCTACAGCACTAGCATGGGAGCAGAGCCAATAGCCACACATGCAGCAATTGTAATAGATTCCAAGAACATGCTTCAGAAGATAACAGGCGGTATGCACTCTGAATGGGTAGAAAGCATTCAAAAATCACACTTAACCCTCCTGACTTGGATCTACACACCTGGTCATGCTGGCGTAAAGGGTAATAAGTGAGCGGACCAACTGGCAAGCAACGCACTAACACATGTGGGAAGAAGCATGTACAGAGCAGATATCGCCAACGCTGTACGGACTGGGTTAGTGGATAATGATGAATCTCTGACACTAACACGACTGCATGACATGGGATTAAACCATGGTGAAGCACATCTATGCTGCCTTCGAGGCCGAGATAAGAGACATAATAACCAAGCTTTCATGGTAACAGTTAGTAGAAGTACCTTGGAGTGGCTGCTGCATCGGAGGACTGAGCACACATGGAAATGCCCAATGTGTAGTGAGGTCAATTGTGATAATATAACATAACATATAACAATATAAAGTACCATTTGGTATTCCAATTAACAATACAATAGTAATTTACAATGCTACAACAAGAATACGTCAGATTCTACAATTATGCTTTGTAAGCTTGAAGATCCGAAAAGTGATCTTTGTGATATTACCTGCTTCCTGAACAATTAACAATCAGAGAACAGGTAGCAGAATGAAGATCATGAACAGTTCTCTATCTGACATTACCTGTTTCCTGAACAATTAACCATCAGAGAACAGGTAGCAGAATGAAGATCATGATCAGTTCTCTATCTGACATTACCTGTTTCCTGAACAATTAACCATCAGAGAACAGGTAGCAGAATGAAGATCATGAACAGTTCTCTAGCTGACATTATGTGCTTACTGTGCACTGTGGCAATCAAGAAACATGCTGTCTTCTTCTTCTTTTTCTTAGTGTTCACTGGTTTTAAACTTCTAGCGCAAAGTTCTGGTTCTTCATCCACTTAGAGACTGGTCTTATTCTAGAACTTGAGTTTGGCAGGCTTATCCGTTTAACAGATCTGTTTATTTGTATGCAGTCTGTTGGCTCCTCGCCTCTCATGCAGATGTGCTCTGACTTTCCAAAGTAACCACCTTCAATGACATGCTTGGTAGGCAGGCAGCATGTCTGTTCTCCTCCTATTCTCCACAAAATACCCCCCCCCCCCACCCCCCTGCGGGATACGAGAAATGCAGCACCTGAGCTTACCTGCTTCGTCCTGTTCTCCTATGACCACAGTGAAGCTGCCCACAAGTTCTGCTCCAGCTCCTTTCTCCTTCATCAGCTTCTGAAAGCTGCCACTAACAAAATACAAATGTAACACCTGATGATCACATGCCAGTAGCATCTAGAACACACATTCGTAAACTCTTTTTTCCAGTAATATCTAGAACATAGGTTCCTAAATTAAATTTTTTTTTTTTATTAATTAACAATAAACCACTGCAAATCTATGCTGAACAAACAGAAATATGCTGTGACAAATGTGTTTTCTTAATTATACTTATATATATATTTTTGCTTATAGCTTACAACATATTCTAAACAAAATCTCCAAGCTGCACATTTTAAAAATAAATCATTCACATAAACACTGATATCACACACAGAAAAAAAATAAACAAATGATAATATCAAAATAAACATAAATCCATAATAATGTTTGAAGTAACATTAACGATTAGGATCAACTCAAGGGGTCCACATATTTAAGAAAATAATGTTGATCCGTTCTTCAAACCCTCATCATGTGCAAGGGAATTTAAAGCCAGTTATGGATGGGCAAGGGTGCTTTATGGCACACAATGACCTTGTGATTCCATGGCGGACAACCATGGCGCAGTGTCTTCCTGACACCTACCAAGAGATACTGTTTGGTTTCAAGGACATGTTCTGTAGCTACAGAACACATACAGTAACATCATGGGGGCCACTGGGAATGCAGACGAGACTCCTGTTTATTAATAAATTTAGTACAAGTGACATGCAGGCCTAATATCTCAAATACATGCCACACCCTGTTTGTCATCAATGATTTTCTGTTTAAATACTGCCGCCTATCTTCTTCTTCTTTTTGTCATCTCACTGATACTATGTGTATTTGTCTTGCTCTTCTCGGGTGGCCCAAGTGACGGATTTGTTCAACTTTTTGCAGGTTTCAGCTACATTATTTATCCATCTCTTTCTTGGTTTTCCTCTCGCTTTCCTCCCAGATATTCTATTGTTAAAAAAAAAAAAGTACTGCGGCCTTTGCTTGTGCAAATAAAGTACTCAAGATAATTTGCCCTCTTACATATGTGATGTTTTGTACAGAATCATCTATTGTCTAAGACAGTATCTCATAAGTTTCCATACACAAGAAGAATAAATGTATGTCAATGGTTGCTTGTAATGGCATTGGTGCTATGTTTTTTGAAGTGATTTATGTTTTGTATCTTCTCTTGATACACCCTGGTCTTCAAATGCCTCAAAAGATAAATTATTGGAAGGGGGGGGGGGGATTAGATGTCGGAGGCCACGCCACAGGATTCCACTGACGCATCCAAGCAACTGGAAACTAGTGGTCTAACCAATGACATAAGTTGCTTTTTTTCTGTGTATGGAAACTTATAAGACACCCGATTTCAACTTTACAAGGTTTATCACAACATAACTGTACTCACAACTGGTTGAGATATTCCTCCATATACTCTGGTCTGACGGAATGATCTGCATAGAAGGGGTTTCAATTAGACTATCTCCTGTAATAAATTGTTTAAGCTAATCTCTCTTTCTCTCCTTCCTCTCCATCTCCCTTTTCCTGTATCCTTCCTCTGCTCCACTCTTTCATTCTCCACCTTCCTGTCTTTCTCTTCCATACTCCAGTCTTTCATTCTCCTCCCTGCTCTCTCTTCACCTCCCTCTCCCTTACTCTCCCCTTCAACCAATCAATCAATCAGCAAGTCCTTTACAGAACAGTGCTCTCTTCATGACTCACATGAAACTCTCTCTCTCTCTCTCTTTCTCTCTAATGCTTCTCCAGCCCTATATTCTTTCACAGCCAATGCATGTTCAATATCTGCCTTATTGTCCAGAAACTGCACCCTCCATCATCGTTGTCCTCAACTGCACCCTCCATCACTGTTGTCCTCAACTGTACCCTCCATCACTGTTGTCCTCAACTGTACCCTCCGTCACTGTTGTCCTCAACTGTACCCTCCATCACTGTTGTCCTCAACTGTACCCTCCATCACTGTTGTCCTCAACTGTACCCTCCATCACTGTTGTCCTCAACTGTACCCTCCATCACTGTTGTCCTCAACTGTACCCTCCCTCACTGTTGTCCTCAACTGCATCCTCCATCACTGTTGTCCTCAACTGCACCCTCCATCACTGTTGTCCTCAACTGCATCCTCCATCACTGTTGTCCTCAACTATACCCTCCATCACTGTTGTCCTCAACTGCATCCTCCATCACTGTTGTCCTCAACTGCACCCTCCCTCACTGTTGTCTCTCTCTCTTTCTCTCTAATGCTTCTCCAGCCCTATATTCTTTCACAGCCAATGCATGTTCAATATCTGCCTTATTGTCCAGAAACTGCACCCTCCATCATCGTTGTCCTCAACTGCACCCTCCATCACTGTTGTCCTCAACTGTACCCTCCATCACTGTTGTCCTCAACTGTACCCTCCGTCACTGTTGTCCTCAACTGTACCCTCCATCACTGTTGTCCTCAACTGTACCCTCCATCACTGTTGTCCTCAACTGTACCCTCCATCACTGTTGTCCTCAACTGTACCCTCCATCACTGTTGTCCTCAACTGTACCCTCCCTCACTGTTGTCCTCAACTGCATCCTCCATCACTGTTGTCCTCAACTGCACCCTCCATCACTGTTGTCCTCAACTGCATCCTCCATCACTGTTGTCCTCAACTATACCCTCCATCACTGTTGTCCTCAACTGCATCCTCCATCACTGTTGTCCTCAACTGCACCCTCCCTCACTGTTGTCCTCAACTGCATCCTCCATCACTGTTGTCCTCAACTGTACCCTCCATCACTGTTGTCCTCAACTGCATCCTCCATCACTGTTGTCCTCAACTGTATCCTCCATCACCATTGTCCTCAACTGCATCCTCCATCACTGTTGTCCTCAACTGCATCCTCCATCACCTTTGTCCTCAACTGCATCCTCCATCACTGTTGTCCTCAACTGCACCCTCCATCACCATTGTCCTCAACTGCACCCTCCATCACTGTTGTCCTCAACTGCATCCTCCATCACTGTTGTCCTCAACTGCATCCTCCATCATCATTGTCCTCAACTGCATCCTCCATCACCATTGTCCTCAACTGCATCCTCCATCACTGTTGTCCTCAACTGCATCCTCCATCACCTTTGTCCTCAACTGCATCCTCCATCACTGTTTTCCTCAACTGCATCCTCCATCACTGTTGTCCTCAACTGCATCCTCCATCACTGTTGTCCTCAACTGCATCCTCCATCACTGTTGTCCTCAACTGCATCCTCCATCACTGTTGTCCTCAACTGCATCCTCCATCACTGTTGTCCTCAACTGCATCCTCCATCACCATTGTCCTCAACTGCACCCTCCATCACTGTTGTCCTCAACTGCATCCTCCATCACTGTTGTCCTCAACTGCATCCTCCATCACTGTTGTCCTCAACTGCATCCTCCATCACTGTTGTCCTCAACTGCATCCTCCATCACCATTGTCCTCAACTGCATCCTCCATCACTGTTGTCCTCAACTGCATCCTCCATCACCTTTGTCCTCAACTGCATCCTCCATCACTGTTGTCCTCAACTGCATCCTCCATCACTGTTGTCCTCAACTGCATCCTCCATCACTGTTGTCCTCAACTGCATCCTCCATCACTGTTGTCCTCAACTGCATCCTCCATCACTGTTGTCCTCAACTGCATCCTCCATCACTGTTGTCCTCAACTGCATCCTCCATCACCATTGTCCTCAACTGCACCCTCCATCACTGTTGTCCTCAACTGCATCCTCCATCACTGTTGTCCTCAACTGCATCCTCCATCACCATTGTCCTCAACTGCACCCTCCATCACTGTTGTCCTCAACTGCACCCTCCATCACTGTTTTCCTCAACTGCACCCTGCATCACTGTTGTCCTCAACTGCACCCTCCATCATTGTTGTCCTCAACTGCACCCTCCATCACTGTTGTCCTCAACTGCATCCTCCATCACCATTGTCCTCAACTGCATCCTCCATCACTGTTGTCCTCAACTGCATCCTCCATCACTGTTGTCCTCAACTGCATCCTCCATCACTGTTGTCCTCAACTGCATCCTCCATCACCATTGTCCTCAACTGCACCCTGCATCACTGTTGTCCTCAACTGCACCCTCCATCATTGTTGTCCTCAACTGCACCCTCCATCACCATTGTCCTCAACTGCATCCTCCATCACCATTGTCCTCAACTGCATCCTCCATCACTGTTGTCCTCAACTGCACCCTCCATCACTGTTGTCCTCAACTGCATCCTCCATCACTGTTGTCCTCAACTGCATCCTCCATCACTGTTGTCCTCAACTGCATCCTCCATCACTGCTGTCCTCAACTGCACTCTCCATCACTGTTGTCCTCAACTGCATCCTCCATCACTGTTGTCCTCAACTGCACCCTCCATCACTGTTGTCCTCAACTGCATCCTCCATCACTGCTGTCCTCAACTGCACCCTCCATCACCGTTGTCCTCAACTGCACCCTCCATCACTGTTGTCCTCAGACCATCATGGAACCTGACATGTCCATAATACCCCAAACTTTTGCGACAGGATGCTGTTAATGAGCCAGTTCTCCTTGATGCTCAGATCTCACCCCTAAATGACATAATTAATGAGATGATGAATGTAACGACATCTCTTGATGCAATAATTTCTCTGACTGGAAGAGTTATTAACCCTTTCACCACAAAACCGACACTTCCAGTTATTCCAATTCCTCGTAAATGTCACTTTTCAGACTTGTCTGTCTTTAGTGACCAGTTTCTGAGACGCATAGTTAATGCTACTGGCTGTTTTTGATCCTGCACTAACATTTATGAGCTGAGAATATCATCATCATCAATCAGCAAGTCCTTTACAGAACATCGTATCTCTTCACGAAAGTTTCCCTTTCCCTAGCCAGCTCTCCAGCCCTATGTGCTTTCAAAGCAGTGCATCTTCTACATCCTGTATCTATCTTCACAAAGGTCGAGTCAACCCCTGCCTCGCTTTCAACAAACTGCACCCTGGATCACCGCCTTTTCCTAGCCACCTTGACATGTGATGTGGTCACAATACTCCAACCTTCAGGAGAGGATGCTGTTTATGAGCCAGTTTTCCTTCATGTTCAACTCGTGTAGAATGTCGATGTTTTACCTTTTCTTGATCCATGAACACATTAAGTAAACGTAGCACTTTGCGGGGAGGCGTGGTCTAGCGGCTAGACTCTTGCCTGCTGATCGGAAGGTCAGGGGTTCAGGTCTTAACAGGGGCCGAACGGTTTTGTTTTTAAAATGACCTTGGCTTCCAGGTCGACCCTGCCTTGAGCGGGTACCAGGTAAAGACCTGGGAGGTAAAGGCGGTCGACGTGATGCTGACCATATCACCCAGCAAATGGTGTTTGGTCTATAAAATATAGGTCTAGTCCTATTTACCCAACATGCCTGAAGACCTGGGAAAGGGTCTTTTACTTTTATTCTTCTTCTTCTTCTTCGTGTTCACCAGCTGTACACTCTGGCGGAAAGTTATGGTTGCTCGTCCACTACTGAACTGCAGTCCTGCTCCAGAACCTGAGTGTTGCGTGTGCATCAGTTTTACAGATCTCATTCGCTTGAATACAGACTGTTGGTTCCTTGCCTCTCCGGCAGATGCACTCCGACTTCAAAGGAAGCTCCCCAGTTAGTCAACTCTTACAACATGCTTTTGGGGAGGCAGTGGGTCTATTCTTGTTTTCCCCACAATGGGGCCCCTGAACCCACACGGGGGTACTTTTATTTATGGGGGGTGGGGGTGGGGAGGTATTTTGAGACTAACGGTTGAAAGCAAATTTTCCTGCAAGCCTCAGTCATAGAGGTCAGTAGGTCATTGCAGAGTCTTCTGATACACATGTTTGTTTTTTTAAAGGCCCTGGGCAATGTATTCTGTTTAATGCTTCACTTTGTCTTTGTTTATTACTCCCTTTATGTCTCATTATTCATTTAGAGAAAACAAAATAAAGAATGTAGATGTTTTTTCTTCTTTGTGTTCACCAGCTGTAAACTCTGGTGGAAAGTTCTGGTTGTTTGTCCACTTCTGGACTGCAGTCCTGTTCCAGAACCTGAGTGCTGCGTGTGCATCAGTTTGACAGATTTGACACATCTGTGTGCAGACTGTTGTTTCCTTGCCTCTCAGGCAAATGCACTACGACTTCAAAAGAAGCTACCAATTAGTCCACTCTTAGGACATGCTTTTAAATAGGCAGTGGATCTATTCTTGTTTTCCCTATGATAGGGCCCCGGAACCCACACAGGGGTGAGAATGTAGAATAATACATTGTTAACATGTTTCTTTTTCGTGTTCACTGGCTGTAAACTTATTCCAGTACCTGAGTGTTGTGTGCACATCTGTTTTACACCACATCTGTATGCAGATTGTTGGTTCCTTGCCTCTCAGTCAGACATGCTCCGACTTTGAATTTTGAACTAATTTATTAGTGACCTGTGTACAAAAAAAATTGCTTAAGCATTTTTCCTAAAATTTATACGGAATTATGACCCATTTTTTTTTTCAGTGTTACCAGAGCAAGAGGATTAATAATGACAAAACCAAGAAACGGTCAAGATGTGACTTACACTGAAACTCGTAGACAGCCTCCTGGCCAGCCAGGACTGCGGAGTGGGCTTGTTCGGGCTTGGAGATCTTCTTGAACCGACTGAACCAGCCTTTAGAGGAATCATCATCATCATCTTGATCCTTGTCTTTGTTATCCTTCAACAATGCTGTTGCTGTATGTATGTGTGGAAATCTGTTGATATACATATACACATATGACTTTTTCTAGAAAAAGAGGTGTAGGTACTTTCAAGAAAACAGTACTCACTGCAAACTGTTTATTACAGCTTTGCTGAAAAACTTTTTTGCCTGAAAAGGCTGCCGGTACTGCATAATGTTGCTTACCATCAGAAAAAAAAATATATATATATATGTAGAGAGAGAGAGACAGACAGACAGAGAGACACACATATGCACACACATATGCGCACGCACAGACACACACACATCATATATATATATATATATATATATATATATATATATATATATATATATATATATATATATATATATATAAACATATATATATATATATATATAAACATATCCTGAAACTGTTTGTTGTTTCCTGTTGGTGCCGAATACATAGTCAGCTCCCTCCACTTAGAAGAGTCAGATTTAATGGGCTTGACGTCTGCATGTTTGGGGCCTGTCTCATCAGCCAAATAATGTATCCTGGTCTCTGGTCTACCTCTTTTTTTTTCTCTTCCCATCAACAGATCCCTGTTTTAATCCTTTGTGGGTCGGTGGATTGTTATACAGTCCAGGCTGGATAAGTAGAAGTCGCAGGGACCTAAGAAAATGCTTCCACTTATCAGGATTTCTACTTATCCAGACAGCACACACAATAGCGAAAATTGCTGGGATTAAGCTGGTCTTGTCGACTCAACCGAAATTCGACTTATCCAAGTTCGACTTAAGTGGACTAGACTGTAGAGCCATACCATTATCAATAGGTTGAGAATGTCATCATTTCTTTGAGATATATATATAAATATATATTTATAAATGCACATGTGCATGCATACACACACATTTATAAATGCACATGTGCACACATACACACATATACACACATACTAATTTCTTGAGGCCTTGGCAATGTAGACAGACCTTAAGCTAACATCCCAGTTTATGGCCCACAGTGGATTCAGATTAAGCACATGACCAGAGATCACTTTCTTACCTATCTATTCACAGACTTATACCCTTATCTTCGTGTAGCTATGTGGCCAAGAACGTACACATGCAAACTATAATCTAAAAGTGAACTATCCTTAAATAACAGCAGTAAAACGGTCTCAGACAGATAACATTATTATTATTAAAAGAAACTATTGAATCGACAGGAAAATGAAAACAACACAATTCATATTTTCCTAGCCTTACACCTTATCTATCCGTGGACTGTACTGTTATCTTTGTGTAGCTATGTGACAGAGAATGCAGACTGTAATTCCAAAGTGAAAGATCTTTACATAAGAGTGTTAAAAGAGACTAAGACATATACATTTATTCAACATGAAAATGAAAAACACAATGATTCATATTTTGAGTACCTTATGTCTTATCTATCTTTGGACTTACACTGTTATATGTGCATGTCTATGTAGTAGTAGTAGTTAGTAATAGTAGTAGTGCAGTTGTTGGTGGTGATAGTAGTAGTAGCAGTAGTGCTGTTGGTAGTAGTAGTAGTAGTAGTAGTAGTAGTAGTAGTAGTAGTAGTAGTAGTAGTAGTAGTAGTAGTAGTAGTAGTAGTAGTAGTAGTAGTTGTTGTTTTTGTTGTTGTGGTGGTGGTAGTAGTAGTAGTAGTAGCAGGAGCAGTTTTTCAAAAATATCCTGTTTGACCCTCAGTTATAATTGAGATACATATAAAGTGTTTATCGAGTTATCGGAGGATATATTTATTATTTTATATTTGATTATCGCTTATTATCTATATGCCCGATTACTTAACATGAAATCGTACAGTACAGGCACCCATTACTAACATTGTGTCAGTAATATGTTGGGTTGGATTTATTATTCTATGTGGCATTGAACGTAAACAGGCAAACTCTAATCTGAAAGTAAGAGATCCTTAGATACAAGTAGTAACTAAAAGTGACAGACAAAAGAAATGACTAGACGGAGGCAAACCCTTTAACTTTCGACAAGAAGCCGTTTGATGAAGACGTCGCCAGGGTCAAGGCTAGGGTCAAGGTCAAGCTACCCCCAGAGCTTGGTCGACTTACCGCAGTTTATCTTCTGTCCCCTATGTTTTACCCCAAAAAAATCCCCACGGAACGATCTTACACTTATTGCAGTCGCTACCTTGATACCGAAGCCTCAGAAACCGAAACGAATTTTGCAGAAAACAATTGTTGAAGGGGGCGACTCCCCAGCACCCGTCCCAAGCCAGCCATGATGATAGTTTGACTTAAGATGTTCACACGCGAAGGGAACGGTTACGTTTACTTTCGTATAAATGTTTCTGCCCTTAAAACACCGGGATAAAAACATGAATGAATAGATAGCACTCGAGAACTACAGTCAGTGCATGATTTAGACTTCATGACTCTAAGATATATGAAGCCCCTAGGCCTTAACCTTTTTAAATGACAACAGTTTAACTCAGAAATATAAAATATAAAAGTTAATTAAAGATGGGTGTTGACGTATATCAAGCTGATTATTTTATTCAAAATAAATAGGCTACATACATCATGTTTTAATGCATAAATGACTGAGGTAATATATCCAAAATAATATTAATACAAATTCAAACTTTCATGGAAACGTTTTGTAAAAATATATATTAAGAAAATTACATTGTGACAAAATAATATAATGTTTTAGGCCCCTGCAGATTGTGAGGCCCTACAGTCGCTTAGTTAGCGTATGTCTAGCGTATGGACAGTTTGACATCATGGCATGGACGATCATCTGTACCAGGGTTGCCAATGGATTTTTTTTTAGAACCCAGCCAAGCTGAACAAAAACCCAAGCAATACATAGACAAATAACACACAAAAGAAAAATTAAAAAAACAAGGTTGTTAAAAAGTACAAATTTTATAGTTACACAATATTTACCCACTTTTATATAAGGATATATATATGGGGGACCGGTGGCGACCTTAAACGCACAATCCTATTTGTGACCCAGACGGGACTCAATGTTTAGCATGACTGATGTCGAACGCAGAATAAGAAGAAGAATGAGGATATATTTTTTTTTTAAACTAGATGTCAAAATGTGAACCCAACGTGTCAAGTAAAAACCCAGGTCTGGGGGTAAAAACCCATCATTGGCAGCTCTGAATTCTGTACCAGAGATGACTAAAAGTACACGAGACAGAAGGTTGCGGATAGACATGACTACCAACGCCACATGGCATGGACATTAAGAAGAAGAGAAGAATCGTATCTCAGATCCATTCATTTATCTTTAATATACGTATGATAACTTAGTCCTATCAATTTCTGGATGTTTTCATCCAGATTCTTCCATGGTCTCCTCTCCTCCGACTACCACCCCCCCCCCTTCCCCCCCCCCCCCCCCCCCCCCCCCCCCAGTGGTCCTCACTATGCATGCAATAGAATCATGTCTCAACACGTGACCCAACCAAGCTAGCTGGAGACGTTTGACCACTGTGATGATGACGATAGTAATTGGCTTGCCATTGTTGCTAATTTCTGTGACGTCGTACATGACGCTGAAGAAAGGATTGTCTAGTCATCAATTCTAGACCGGGATATAGAACTCGCCCAACATTTACAAGAGAAAGAAACGGACAGATAATTGTCTGCACCTAACTTCGTGCTGTGGCGCAGGAGAGAGGGGGCGGGGTGCGAGCCGCCCCAGATGTCATCACTAGGGGAGGGGATGACAAAACGACACGCTTGTTTGGGAAGCAGTTTGTCTAATTTTTGTTTTCCCCAGTGTTTTCTTTTCTTTTCTTATTTTTTTTTTTTTTTTCTGTTCTGGCTCGAGAGGAAACTAAAAGAAGAAAGCGGGGCTTTTGCCTTGACTACAAGTAGTCTGACAATGGAGGTGATGGTTGTAACAAAAGCTATCATGTGGCTAGAGACACAGCATTTTCCCATGCATGCTTTCTAATTCTTCTTCTTCTTCGCGTTCACCAGCTGTAACTTTGGCAGAAAGTTCTAGCTGTTCGTCCACTTCTAGACTGCAGTCCTGTTCCAGAACCTGAGTGTTGTGTGCACATCCGTTTGACAGATCTTACTAATTTGTATGCAGACTGTTGATTCCTTGCCTCTCAGGCAGATGCACTTAGACTTCGAAGGAATCTCCCAATTAGTCGACTCTTACGACATCATTTTGGGTAGGCAGTGGGTCTATTCTTGTTTTCCCTATGATAGGGCCCTGGAACCCACACGGGGAGCTTTCTAATTGATTCCATCAGCATGTTTAAGAAGGTAGAGACATGATGGTTTCAAAGATAATTGTTGGAGTCGCTGAGGAAATAGCGCCTGACAGGAATTAGTTTTATTCTGTGCCAGGACAGTGGGGTAAGAGGAAATAAATGCACCGACTGGCTTACTGGCAGGGCCACGGAAGGTACAGGAAATGCAATGGACCGAGCCGACATTCTCAATGCTCTAAAAAAAGACAGGACGAGAAGATGATTCAGGAGACGACGTTGAATATGTAACACTCAAACGACTACAATAATTTCAGGCCAAACATGAACGCTTTACAGGTAGCCAAAGAAGAATAGTAAACCAACACAGAACTGGTGTCATAAGTGGTCACACGCTGGGGGATATACTGAAGATTGGATCCGAGCGTTTATGGATTTGTCCGATGTGCAATGAGGAAAATATGTCAGTTCAGGAGTAGCATGTCCGTTGCAGAACTTTGCTCCCATAATAAGCTTGAGGAAAACTTCTGAAACACAAGCAAGATGTCCCGCGTCCTATACACCCATCCGGAGATCATCCGCCACATCCTGAACCCATCTTCTCTTTGGCCTTCCTCTCTTCCCGGGCATATGCCCCTCCATTATAGTTCTCTCAAAACTTTCGTGACGTTTCAAGTGACCAGAATATTTCAATTTTTGGTGTCTTGGCAAGTTTTGTAGAAGGTATTTTGCCATTTCCTTCCTTATGGGCAGTGACTATACTAGTCGGTGGCCATATCCATTGTCTCTAAATCAGATCATCTGCCTATCGCCGCAGAGTGCATGACTACAACCAACAACACTCTGTCGGCTGCTCTCACACGCCATCCACCACCTGCTCCCATGGCTTCACTTAACCCTAAACTAGGAGGATGGGGCGAAACGGCTACTCCATCTTACCCAAGGGTGTCCCGTAGACTAAACGAGGAAAGGAGGCGTCTCGCGTTCTTTAACTTGTTTTCCCCAGTCAGCCCCAGTAGCAATAGGGCACCGGAAACCATACATGATAGTGATGAAGATACTGATCGACTACTTCCGCCTGTGGGCCAGTCCGGCGCCCATTTCAAAAAGTGAACGTTGTCTTCCGCCGCGACATTCTCTACCGGGTCCACAGTTGTTCAAATTTGACGCCGTTTGAAGATTTTCTTCACTTGTCTCAAAGATTCCGCCTTGTTTGTTTCATTTTAAACATGGATATGGCATCCAACATGAAGAAAGCTGGTTTGGTAATCAGGAAATCATTTCGCTCAAAACGATATGCAGCTTGGGAGAAGGAAAACATGTCGAAGTCGGTAACAACAGCTGATGGAGAAACAACAGGTGAGACTTCACAGTACAGAGCTCGTAGTTTGTCGACATCGGCGTGGTCGGGGGAGGATGAGAATGGAGATACGTCTACTTTGGCTAACCCCGGGACACCTGCTGCTACTCGTTCACAAATATGGCTTAAGAGAGGGACAAGTATGACGCAGTCGATGCGGGATGCCGTCGGAAATCTCAGACAGGTTGGTGGTGGCGTTTTTAGTTTAAGTTAGTTATTTAGTGGCCCATTCGTCTCTTTAAAAAAATAGTAATAGTTTTGTTGTTATTAACTTTATACATTTGTTATTAACACGGTGATAAATTAATTTTTTTAAATCAAGACATATTGTAATTGTGGCTATCCTCCGAATCACGTAGTTACTTTGGTCAAATTTTTAAAATGGCCTCAACACCAATAAAACCAGCACAGTTAGATAGCGGTAAAGTAAACAATCTCTTTCCAATGGTACCTCATTTAGCCTTGTATGTCATTTATGAGCTGAGATATGTAGGTTTTTGTGGAGATGAGATGTAAAAACAGCTGCTAAAACTTGTCTGAGAAACAAGATGTTTTCTCTGCGCAACCAAACTGCGCAACTTTCGTTTTGGCTTTGTTTTCATTGGACAAGATGGCAGACAATTTTTCTCAGACACAGCCACATAATAGCGATTGCGTGAAAAAATGTCACTGTAAATCTAAACAGCCACAGACAAGAAAGAAATTTTATACACAAATGTAAAATTGGACAGAGAATTCAATTATAACTAGCATTACCATGTTTGGTAATGTTTAAGGCCTAATACCAACTTTGAATACTTATCGCTATTTTCAATCAAACTGATGTAACAGAAAAAAGAGGACGTCCGGCTGTCGTAGACATGCGCTGTTAATCAGGTTCGTTCCCGCCGTTTTCAGCTATTTATAGCTGGTGAAAATCACACCAATCGCTAATTTTCATGAGAGATTAGGACCCATCCCGAAACCCCAGCCGACATTTGACTGAGGCTTTGATATTTCCGGCCTCAGTAATTTGGGACCATTATTCGGAGGATGCCCTATATTGTAAAACAAAACAAAAATCACTAAGGCACTCTAATTACAGTTTTTTTTTTTACGGAAAGAAAATATTGCAGTCTAGCTGTGAACTGTACACCACATCATGCCATGTAAGCACAAAAAAAAGCTGCCAGTATTCTGACAAGCCACACCTCAGTATACTTCTTATAGCTACTTGAGTGAAATAATTATATTAAATAGAATAAGTAGCTTTAGTAGCAATACTTGACCCTAGGGGACCTAATCGGTTCTAACTTAACTTAATAGTACTTTTAAATGCCGACCCTAAGAGATGCAATCCAGTTTTTGTGTGTGTGTGTGTAAGTTTACATAACTTTCTTTATTATGTAATTGTTTAATTATAGTAAATAGTGTTTGAGATAAGAGTGTAAATTTTATTCCACAAAGATATCACACATGGATAAACACCTCGTGACACAAAATGCCACCATGCAAAACTCTGTCAAACTGTTAGGTTATGTTATATTAGGGCCCTTAGCAACACAACAGCCAGGGTGGGGCTTCACAATAATGAAAAATTGCATCCCACGGGGGGGGGGGGGGGGGGGGGGGTATATATAAATATTTTAGAGCTAAGACTGACCCTGACCATAACCTGAAGCAATATTATCTATCACAAAACATTATTTAAACAAACGCAATGGATTGTGTCTGTAGGGTCGCCGTTTCAAGTATTTGCAAATAAATTATGTGTAACAAATAAAGATGGGAGTTCTATTTCTTATTTGCCCTTTATCCCTTATAGATATTCCCCTCGGTTATAGCTCCATGAGTCATATCTCAGTTATAGCTCCATGAGCAAAATCTCGGTTACAGCTCCATGAACCCTCAGTTATAGCTAAGTGAGCAACACTTTGGTTACAGCTCCTCGAGTCATGCCTCGGTTATAGCTCCATGAGTCATACCTCGGTTACAGCTCAGTGAGTCACGCCTCGGTTATAGCTCCATGAGTCACACCTCGGTTACAGCTCCACGAGTCACGCCTCAGTTACAGCTCCACGAGCCACACCTCGGTTATAGCTAAGTGAGCAACACTTTGGTTACAGCTCCTCGAGTCATGCCTCGGTTATAGCTCCATGAGTCACACCTCGGTTACAGCTCCATGAGTCACATCTCGGTTACAGCTCCGTGAGCAACACCTCAGTTACAGCTCCCACATCCCGGTTATAGCTCCGTGAGTCACACCTCGGTTATAACTAGTTGAATGATATTAGAAGAATAAACGTTTTTGTAACAGTAACAGCAAGAAAAGTGATAGTAATATCTTCTTTTTCTGCCCTTTTTATTCCTTGGTTGGGCACCCTACCATTTTCTGTTGCATGCAGCTCACCTCTTGTATTTAACTTCACTCTGTCTTCTCCATGTTGTATTTCAAAGGTAGACCAAATACTATTTAGTATACTTTTATTTCTGTGCCTCTGTGGGTTTCAGTAGAAAAACATTCTGTACCATATTTTTAATAAATACGATATGTTTTCTCAAATTTGTTAAGTTGAAAATTGGAAGACGCATTTTTTTGGGGTAAATTGTGGGCTAAATAAGGGCCATCTTGTATATCAAGATCCTGTCTTATACATGGAAACAAGTATGGTATATTGTTGTTAGGTTTGCTAGCCGTCTCTTCTTCACATCTTGACCCCTGGAGAGTACTATTACATAGAATAAATTTTGTGTTCTAAATATCGCAGAAAATGAGAATGTCAACCAGACGCAGCCGTCTGAATGTTACAGTGACGAAAGTTGGCACTAGACGACACACACTCGGAGGGCGTGATGCACATCTCCACTCAGCAGCAAAGGTGTCATCTCCGAGATCTCGCGTCAAAACCAGGTCAGTGAGTGATTTATATCATTGAGCCGTTTTACAGTCCTTGCACTGGGTGACTTAAATGTATATACACTTTATCTAGCTGTTGTACAGTCTTTCCACTGGGTGACTCAAATGTATATACACTTTATCTAGCCGTTGTACAGTTTTTCCACTAGGTGACTCAAATGTATATACACTTTCTAGCCGTTGTACAGTCTTTCCACTGGGTGACTCAAATGTATATACACTTTATCTAGCCGTTGTACAGTCTTTCCACAGCGACTCAAATGTATATACACTTTATCTAGCCGTTTTACAGTCTTTCCACTGGGTGACTCAAATGTATATACACTTTATCTAGCCGTTGTATTCTTTCCACTGGGTGACTTAAATGTATATAGTATATCATATAGAATAGAATGAAGTGATAGACTAAGGCTAGATAAAGTGTATATAATATACACTTTATCTAGCCTTAGTCTATCACTTCATTCTATTCTAACCTGTGCAGTTCTTTTAGTATCCATTGTGTGCTGATCTTTCAGTATCCATTGTGTGCTGATCTTTCAGTATCCATTGTGTGCTGATCTTTCAGTATCCATTGTGTGCTGATCTTTCAGTATCCACTGTGCAGTCCTTTCAGTATCCATTGTGTGGAGTCCTTTCAGTATCCATTGTGTGGAATCCTTTCAGTATCCATTGTGTGGAGTCCTTTCAGTATCAGTGTGTGCAGTCCTTTCAGTATCAGTGTGTGCAGTCCTTTAGTATCCATTGTGTGCAGTCCTTTAGTCTCCATTGTGTGCAGTTCTTTCAGTATCATTGATGTGATCTAGCCCAGCACTTTAAGCTTCTCTCAGCTTTGTTCCAGGGCCTGAAAATATGTTGTACTTTAAAATCTAAAGTAAGGGAGCCAGCTACATTGCAAGAGAAGCTATGGGAGACCGGTGGCGGTGTTAAACGCACAATCCTATTTGTGAATCAGATAGGACTCACTGTTTAGCATGACTGATGTCGAATGCTGAAGAAGAAGGATAAAGCCCGAGTAGGAGGCCTTCCCATGCACCTACTCTGCAAAAGTAGTCAATAAAGGCAATCTTCTTCTTTTCTCTACTCCTGAAAGGTCTCGTGGCGTCAGGGATGGAGGGGTCTTTCTGTTTGCTTCGTATATTGTACTTTTCAGTGTCTCTGGTGCTCTGTGTGGTCGATCTCTGGCTCTGTTAGCGTTGTATCTGTATAACATTGGTGTGTGTGGTGCCTTGTCTGGTGCTAATCTTTTTACATGACCGGATCACTTGATCTGTTGTCTACCCGTAACATTCAATATTGATTCTCCTGATATCTTCGTTCATAGGTCGGTCTTTCCTTTTTACACCTAGCTTTCTGTCATGTCTACTTTCCTTCTGTCTTCTGAAGACAGTGTCCATGTTTGACATCAATGGCACAGCGTTGGTAAAAATACTATGTTGAACTGTGCTTTTTTGTGTGTGTGTGATTATGTGTCTGCGTTTCAAAATTTTGTAACATTTAGCCTTACACTGGACTTACTTTATTGCATCTTTGTTAGACTTCTTTATTAATTTTTCTGTCTTCTGATAAAACGCTCCCAGATATGTAAAGCCCTGCGCCTGCTTTAACTGATGTTCATCTATTTTGATATCGGTGGTTGTTACCTTTCTGGAGAATGTCATCACTTCTGTTTTGTCTGCGTTGATCTTCATGTCATAGTCGTTGCATGCTGATTAGGGTCTGTTATGCTCTTGCAGTTGTACTTCATAGCAAGCAGGTCACCCCATAGTTACTCTGCTCCTGTGCCAATGAAAAACACAGCATCTCCATCACTGTCTCACATTAGAAATGCAGCCATTGATGGAAGCAGCAGTTATAAACAGATCAGCAGTTGCACAGGCAATCAATTTTGATCACGTAAGGCAACAGGCCAGGCACCATTTTCTAAATCTACAGTTCACAGCGTCACAGTAAAAAAAAAACTTTAGCATGAAATCTTCAGCTCACAGTGCACTCATCTCAGTAGCTGGATAACAAAACTATCCTTTCAGTCTAATGAAACTGAAATATTTTGCCATGGCTACAAACAGTGGCCATACCTATTGTCCATTCTGCAAATCACAACTTGCCAGTCACAGTTTTAAGTGCGAACACAACAAGAAAAAGAAGATTGTAATGTTAACCGGTTGGAACACTGATGTTCACTCATGTTAATACCAGACTTAAACTCAACAGCTTGTCTGTGGAAACTCCTACTAGACTCCGCCGTGAGGTTGAATCATTAACAGCAAACATGCAAGCTCTGAATGCGCTTACACCAAATGCCATGGAGGGCAGAACTAGAACAAGGTAATCCTTGTGTTTGTATGTCAAATTCGTACGTGAACTGTATGCAACCCTTTGTGTTTGTATGTCACATCCGTACATGGACTGTATGCAACCCCTTGTATGCTACATTTGTACAGGGACTGTATGTAACCCCTTGTGTTTCTATGCCGTGTTTGTACATGAACTATGCAATATTGTGTTTCTCTGCCACGCTGAGATATATGCTGTTTCTATGTCAAACTTGTTTACAATGTCAGACATTTATACACATCATCTGGAAGGGGGGGGGGGGGTCCGGGACCCTATTGTGGTGTTTTTAAAAATACTGTCTCCCTAACCAGCATGTCGTAAGTCACCTAATTGTTAGTGAGCCCTTGAAATTTGAAGTGTATTTGCCTGAGAGGCAGAAACAAAAATATGTATATAAGAAAGCCAGATCTGTCAAATGGATCTGCAGGCAAGACTCAAGTTCTGGAAAAAGACCAGGTGTGGATGAAGAACAAGAACTTTCCACCAGAATCTGCAGGAAGTGAATGCGAACGCATAAAATCTCTATTTGTCCACAGTGTCGGGGAATAAGTTGAATTCACTCACCTTATAACTATTTTGTTTCACATTCAGCTCATTTCATAAAAATTAGCTATTTAAGACGTTTAACCTTAAATTTTTTTTTTTTTTTAACTGATTGTCAACATAAAAGATATAAATAGTTATGTATTGTAGGGGGCGCTGCAGGGATGTAGCAGCTGGGTGCTCATTTGTTGTTTCAGAAAGGTGAGAGTTTGGGTCCCAGCGAAGCCAGACTTTAATCCCCAAAAAATGTCATCTCTGACTTAGCACATGATCTCTCTCACTCAATTGTCTCTCTCGCACACACACACACACAAGTATGTCATCTCTGACTTAGCACATGATCTCTCTCACTCAATTGTCTCTCTTGCACACATGCACACACACACACACAAGTATGTCATCTCTGACTTAGCACATGATCTCTCTCACTCCTTTGTCTCTCTTTCTCCTTTGTCTCTCTTTCTCCTTTGTCTCTCTTTCACGCATGCACACACACACACACAAGTATGTCATCTCTGACTTAGCACATGATCTCTATCACTCATTTGTCTCTCTTGCACGCATGCACACACACACGCGTATGTCATCTCTGACTTGGCACATGATCTCTCTCACTCCTTTGTCTCTCTTGCACACACACACACATGCACACACACACGCGTATGTTATCTCTATCACTCCTCTGTCTCTCTCGCAGGCACACACACACGCACATTTATGTCATCTTTGACTTAAAACTGCACCTGTCTCTGAAATCAGATGTTTTGGGTCAAAAGGCACAGGCATTATAGCCTAGCTGTAAACCACAATGCATCCCTGTTGAAGGTAAAAAAAAAATGTGACACTAAAATTATATTTATGTTCTTGTTTATTTGACTATAAGTTTTAAAAAAAAATGTGATTATCAATTCCTTGCCAACTATAATATCCAAGACTACAAAGTCTAACCCCATTGCTGATGATTGATTGTGTTTTAAACCACACACACACACACAGTCAGTGGTGGCAAACTAAGAAAACACAATAATTCCTCACTAGGAAATAAATTCCAACAACAAATGCCCTTGGCTCCCAGGTGGACCTAGCCTAAAGTGGGTACCAAGTAAAGTCCCGGGAATTAAAGGTGGCTAGCGTGATGCTGACCACATCACCCACCCATTGCCGATTTGTCTATAAAACAAAGTTCTAGCACATGCCCAGTAGGCTTGAGAGCGTACTGGCGCCCCGACCTCCACCAAGTGCTGATTGGTCTATAAAATATAGATCTAGTCCTAAACACCCAAAGACGTAAAGAATGGTCCTTAATGACTTGTAAGCATACAGTATTTAATCTAAACCGTTGCCTATTGTAACCATAATATATTTCACACAGGAAAGCCCCACCTTTGACAAACGGCAGCCTGAAGACACCGAGAGTTTCACACAGACGTGTCTCACAGGTCTAGTTTGTGGATGACTAAGCCATCTTCATGCTGACTGGGCAACAAGGGCATGCCAAGAACACTGCATTAACTTTCAGGGTTGTTTCCCTGTACCACATGTCCTTCATGTTTCCTTTGCTCCTGCCTGTATCTCTAGCATAGAAATATAACACAGGCACTTCATATCTTGTTTCGGTGCCATAGCTTTGTCGACCATTTGTTTATCGGCCAAGGTAGACTGATAAAACAGTTTTATCTTGTCTCCATGTGCCAGTATATCAGCTTTGGTATTGTTTGTGCCTGCACAGTGTTTAGAAGGGCTGGATATGATTATATTTCCTAAAAATAGCTTTTGCAGGGGTTTTATTATGGGGGAAAACTATTATTTGGTCATTATGTCATAATTTGCTTTTAGCAGTCATAAGGTGTATGGCTCTTATGATATAGGTCACTGTATAAAATTTAGACCCAGGATAATGTTTTAATTTAATTTCTCCACTCTATTTATGTTTATTGATTACTATGCCTAAGATGTTTATACAGTTTTTTTTATGTATGTAAATAAATTTTAAAACCATACTGGTGACCTGTGTAAAATGGTTAATTTGTTTTGTTTGAAATGATATCTGGAATATGGTATTTCCTCCCTAAATTGCTTCCTGAAGCAGAATAATTGAATGTTGAATTGAATTTCACTTTTAAAAATAACAGTTGTTTATGCTAATGATCGCCAATGTTTGCTTTAATGGGTCTCTTTCTCTGTTATCAGAGAATCTTAATTTTATCTTCTAGAATGATCCGCTTACTCAACACGTACATTCTCACGTCTGAGCCAGTTCTGTGGCCGTGTTGACAGTTGATGTTAGTCTAGACTAATTGTGAACTCTAATCAAACTTATTGGTTTGCCATCTGTGACTGTTTTGTTCCAGGACTTGAGTGTTGTGCACAGCCAGTATGTGGACTTTGTTGCCTCTCTGGTAGGTGCGCTAACTTTGTTGTCTCTCTGGTAGGTGCAGTAACTTTGTTGCCTCTCTAGTAGGTGTGCCAACTTTGTTTGTTGTCTCTCTGGTAGGTGCAATAACTTTGCTTGTTGCCTCTCTGGTAGGTACAGTAACTTTGTTTGTTGCCTCTCTAGTAGGTGCGCTAACTTTGTTTGCTTCTCTGATAGATGCAGTAACTTTGTTGCCTCTCTAGTAGGTGCAGTAACTTTGTTTGCCTCTCTGGTAGGTGCAGTAACTTTGTTTGTTGCCTCTCTGGTAGGTGAGGTAACTTTGTTGCCTCTCTGGTAGGTGAAGTAACTTTGCTGCCTCTCTGGTAGGTGCAGTAACTTTGTTCATTGCCTCTCTGGTAGATGCAGTAACTTATGTTTGTTGCCTCTCTAGTAGGTGCAGTAACTTTGTTTGTTGCCTCTCTAGTAGGTGCAGTAACTTTGTTTGTTGCCTCTCTGGTAGATGCAATAACTTAGTTTGTTGCCTCTCTGGTAGGTGCAGTAACTTTGTTTGTTGCCTCTCTGGTAGGTGCAGTAACTTTGTTTGTTGCCTCTCTGGTAGGTGTGCTTACTTTAAAAGATTGTCAAAGGCAGATGGTCACTACAGCAGGGTGTCACATAAGTTTTGCATTCCTTTTAAAAAAAAATTGCGAAATTTAGTTCTTTGATGCCTACCCTCCACTGCTTAAGATCATGTATGAGCACAGCTGGTGTTATGCTTGTAATGGCTTTGGTAGTTCTATTTACAACAGTCCAGCCCAACTACCTACCAGTTGATTTTTCATTCAGAGGGTTGTCACGCTGTCTTGTCTCCAATTACATCAGCGCCAGTATTGCATGTTCTATACTTCACGACCACACAGCTTTCAGTTATCCCTGAACGTCAAGAACGGGTCAACTCTCCCTCAGCATTACACCCCTCTGATGTAGACAAGCCTGAGCAAGCATAAATAAAAGGTCAATCCGTGTGTAGTTGGGCTGGATTCCGTAGTTAGGACCACATTGGTGATATGTTTGCCTTTCCTATGTGTGGCATCATGAGCGCTAATTGACCAAAAGACTGGGGCATTTTGAGAGAATGGCAGAGAGGTAAAAACTGTACACATGAGAGCTGAATGGTCGTAGACCACGAAACAGACCAAGACGGTGGGGAAAAGATAGAATACAGGCAGACCAGCAAACACTTGGTGTCACCAAGGGAAAAGAGAAAGCCAGCCAGAGAGATGAGTGGAGGTGGGTGATATCTGCAGCAATGAACTTGGAATGCTGAGGAAAATGTACCTGAACATACAGTTAGTTAGTTAGTTGCATATCTTTTTATAGGAAGTTGCAGAATCAACCCCTGCATTTTTTGGCTGTTGTGGTTTTTCTAGGCATATTTACATCCAGTAGTTTGTCATTGCTTTCTGGATGGTCAGCTTCTCGACACCACTGTCGAAACCAGCACAAGTTTCGCAGCTGGGGTTGAACCCATTACCTTGGGATTATGAAGCGCGTTCGCCACGCCTAAGCCACAGACGCCGGCCAACTTACAGTACTCCCTGTATATCATGTATTGTTTTACCATGAAGCACATATTGCTCGATGTCTACAAGTGAATGATTCTTTTCTTGTTTGTGTCATTAAGTGCCAGACCTGTTTTTTTTTTTAAAGACCAGTCAGCACTCGATGAGTAACGTGGTCATCATTGTGCTGTCTGCCTTTACTTCCAGTGACATTACCTGGTGCCCATTTAGACTGGGCCAAACAGGGAACCAAGGTAAATTATAATGTTAGAGATGTGGGTGGATGAAACACCTCTTTATCATCAGTAGTGTTATCTCATTCATTGTCATGTATTGTTTAATAATTTATCATCAGTTGTTTTCTATTTTATCACTTAACTGTGTTTTTTAATTCATTATCACCTACTGTATTTTCTGTTTTAAGTAAGCAGAAGACCCTTTTTATAATTTTGGCGCATCAGGCATACAGTGCTAGACCCAGAAGGCTTTTATGGTTATATGCAACAGTACAAAGTACCTCCGTAAGGCTTTTGTTTTGTGTAGTGCTGCAATGCTTAGGCATTGAGAGTCTGACTCGTAATTCCATCCTACGGCGATCAAAACTCATGGGTTTTTATCATAGCTTGAGACATCGCAGGTCGACCAAGCCTTAAATGGATACCAGGATGTATGTCTTGGGGGAAGTAAAGACGGCAAATGTAATGATGACCGCCCTGTTCCGATTGGTTAGTAAAAATATGGGTGCTCTTCCCATATGCCTGATGGGCTTAAGGTGCAAAAAGATATCTTTACTTTTTGTGTGTGTGTGACTTGTGCTGTGATAGATGTTTATAAATGAGTACTGATACCTAGGCCGGGCGACCTTGGATTCAACATAATTTGTTCTTGAAATCTGTGTTTCCTAGTTATTGTGTTTTCTAGTTTACAACCACTCACTATATGTGTAGTCTGAAACAAATTTGTTGTTCAAACATCAGCAATAGGGTTATTATTGTAGGTTTGAGATTTGAACAGTGGATCAACATCATGGCACACAAGTAGTAACACATAGGTGCTTTGTTTTTCTTCTAACTCAAGCTGGATCCTGAAGAAGCTATCCGGCACAGTGCACAGGCTCTGTAACACCGGCAAGGATCCTGAAATACTTTGGGTAGATTTTCAACATTTGCCTTGGCAGCGCAGTTAGTCTACTCTGTTTTATTTCCAACTGCCAAAGGATATTTTATGTGTGCGCACGGGTGTCCGACCTCACTACCCAGATGTAAGCAAATCCCAGCTCTTGGCAGGGATTGAACCCAGAACCTCTAGCACTCTAGGCAATCACCATGCCATTAGACCACACATCCCCCTAGGGTTATTATATGTAGTCTTGTATATTATAATTTGTTTGTAATTTGTACATTTTCTTTTTCTATTTTAAAATAAAAGAACAAACATTAATAGAATTTCAGTGTCATATTTTGCTTCTTTTACCTTTAACAGGTGTGTGCTGTAGTTAACAGCTAGGCATCGATATCTGTGCCTTTCAGCCCAATACATCTGATTTCAGCAAACTCTTAATTAGTACAGCCCATTAGGTTGCAGTGCCTCTGTTCTTCTCCCCTTCCATAAATGGGGTTCCAGATCCTTATGTGAATGTGTTATATTCTTGTTGTCATACAGATTATAGCCAGCAGTTGTAAATGTACATGTGATGTTCTAAGCCAGAAAAAAGGGGGGGGGGGCATTATAAGTGGGATAATGTTTTAAGTCAGAATGGTGACATTATATGTGTGTGGGATAAAGTTTTAAGTCAGAATGGTGACATTATATGTGTGTGGGATAAAGTTTTAAGTCAGAATGGTGACATTATATGTGTGTGGGATAAAGTTTTAAGTCAGATTGGTGACATTATATGTGTGTGGGATAAAGTTTTAAGTCAGATTGGTGACATTATATGTGTGTGGGATAAAGTTTTAAGTCAGAATGGTGACATTATGTGTGTGTGTGTGATAAAGTTTTAAGTCAGAATGGTGACATTATATGTGTGTGGGATAAAGTTTTAAGTCAGAATGGTAACATTATATGTGTGTGGGATAAAGTTTTAAGTCAGAATGGTGACGTTATGTGTGTGTGAGTGATAAAGTTTTAAGTCAGAATGGTGACATTATTTGTGTGTGTGATAAAGTTTTAAGTCAGAATGGTGACATATGTGTGTGGGATAAAGTTTCAAGTCAGAGAGGGAAAATTATAAGTGTGTGTGATAAAGTTTTATGTCAGAGATGTGACATTATATGTGTATGTGATAAAGTTCTAATCCAAAGAGATGACATTATGTGTGTGTGTGTGATAAAGTTCTAAGCCAGAGAGATGACATTATATGTGTGTGTGTGGTAAAGTTCTATGTCAGAGAAGTGTCTAAGTTGTGTGATAAAGTTTTATGTCAGAAAGTTGACATTATGTGTGTGTGTGTGTGTGTGATAAAGTTCTAAGCCAGAGAGGTGACATTATGTGTGTATGTGTGATAAAGTTTTATGTCAGAGAAGTGACA